GGGCGGGAGGGCGGCGGGCGTTTCTGTGAGGCGGGCGGCGGGCGGCGGCTCCGTCCGCGGCGTGAGCGGGGACAAAGCCGAGTGGCGTCGTGAAGGGCGCGGCCGCCTCTGTGTCCCTGGTGTGGGAGCAGAGCCCCTCTGCGCCCCGGGGCAGGCCGAGGTAGCGCTGAGGGCTCGGTGGGGACGGGGCGTCGGGTTTGGCTTGGAAACTGCCTGGGGCTGGCGGCGAAGTTAGGGCCAAGCCCATGTAGAAAGGAAGGGGTGGGGTGGGGAGAACAGACTCTGGGGCCGGTTTGCGTTATCGGGGAGTTGACCAGGCAGAAAGGGTTGGTGTGCGCTCTGGGTGAAGCGTGTGCTACTTCTAAGGTAACCTAACAAATTGGACCTAATTGAGCCTCAAGTGTAACTTGAAAGTGCTATCGGTAGGCCCTGCGTTAGGTCTGGCTGGGTTGCAGATCCTGCCATGCTCTCCAGTCTAGGTGACTTTCTCAACAGCTTCAGAATTTGTGGTGGGCTGTGCTAGTCGGTTTCGAATTTGACTGTAAGAAGCTGTAACTTCCCCACAGTGCCTGTTGTGGCTCTGTGTTACTGTAGAGATCCAAGAGCAAAGAGTTGCAGAAAAGGGTATATTTTACTGAAGCAGTTGAAGTTGAACGAGGGCAAATGCACTAGTGCTGCTCATAATATTTATTGCAATAAGGATTGGGAAGGAAGAAGATTGAACACTAATGTTGCAGGTGGTTTGCCTTAGAAAATGACGGGAAGAGCTAGAGCCAGAGCAAGAGGAAGACCTCCAGGACAGGAGACTGCTATTCCTCCTGTAGGAGCTGCTTCTGTAAGTTGTTGTTTTTATTAATGAGCACGGCTGGGCTTTGAAATGTCATAGCTCAACTAGTTCTTAGTTTAATATCATGTTAGATGATACATTTGTGTATATATATTATGTCAGCTGTGTAGTTATATTAACTCATTATTAAGGAAATATTTGTGTGCTGAAAAACAAGCACTCTATTGTAATACAGTTATCATAATAGAGCTAGTGGAAATAGGTGAGTATTTTCATAGCCTGCTTTGTCCACTGTGATACGCTGCAGAGAAGCAGAACTTATTAGGCTGGTGTTGCTATTGGTGCGTATTTGGGCAGAATCTGGATCTGGCAGATGTTACAAACTCTTTCAGTTGGGTTTATTTTTAATATCAAGTACTTCCTGTCTGCATTTGAATTGGTGTTGAGGGCTTGTTTTGTGCATATGTGCCCTGGTCAAACTATAGATTGAAAATGGCTGATAATTCTGTATTTGCAGCCATTGCCACATACCTGGAGATTTTTTTAAAGCAATTCCTCAAATTTGTCAGTTTTATTAATAATCATCTTTCATTTAAAAATGTGATTAGACTGGAGGAGTGTTCCTAGTCCATTTCTTGCCAGTGTCAGACAAGTTTGAATCCTGAAAGAAGGTAGGTTACAGTTCTGTTTCTCAATTAGTGAAATGCATCTTGCAGTAGCACTGGTGCACCTCTTGAACCTCCACCAGAGTTTATAAACCCAAGAGGCCTGATTACTTCAACCTTGGTCTCTTTGACTTGACTAGAATTGTTAGCAGAAGTCATGAGGCGATACCTATGTCCTGCTGTGGGTGAAGAGGAAGCTAAAAGAAATGATAAGGCTTAGGTATTTTACATGAGTATTGATGTGGTCTGAGTGGAGAAAAGTCTGTTTTGACTTTTTTTCTATATAGGCTGCCACTGTTCTACCATGTAGACTGTGTGTATCTCCCTCCAACAGGGTTAGTTTTAGAAGGGTTTCCAAAGACATGTTGAAAAGAGGTTGTGAAATCTATAAGAGGATTTATATTAAATGTTTGGAAAATGAGGATTTAGGCATGCACTCTGTCTCCACTTAAGTGAGAACATAATCTGTGCTGATTGCAGAGAAAGATGGGAACGACTAGCCATGTATTGAAATGAACCATTTGACTTTTACACTGGACTGTTACAGACCTATCATAATACACCAAGTTCTCATTACTGGGTGTTAGTGAGATTTAAGGAGGTCAGGGTTCTGCCTTTCCATACTAATGTCCTGACAACCCTGAGATCTTTCTTGCTGCATAGGTAGGAAAGAGGATAGGTTGGTCAGTCTCTGGGAAGTCCTTCCCAAGGTAAAGACTGCAGCCTCCAGGGAGGATATCAAGAAGATGGAGCTTGGCTCTTTGTACTGCTTCATGGTGGGCAGATGAGACACAGTGGTCACAAGCTGCAGCAGGAGTTGTTTTGACTGGACATAAAGAAGAATGTTTCCATGATGAGGACAGTCAAGCACTGGAACAGGTTGCCCGCTGAGGTTGTGCAGTCCACAGCCTTGGAGGTGGGATAAATCTGAGCCAACCTGATTGAACCCTGTGCCTGACCTTGCTTTGAGAGAGAGGTTGGGCTAGAGATCTCCTGAGGTTTCTTCCAGCCTAAATTATCTTGTGGTTTTACAAAGAATAGGATTGTTGAAAACCTCCTTCCCCACACCCCTACAGTGAATCCTACCCTAATATAATCTCTTCCTTCGGTTTCTGGCTTGACTTGGAGCTCTGCTCTGACCCTTTAATGGATGGGGAAGGAATATAGTCAGCTCAGGATGGCAGGGCTCAGTGCCTGGCTCTGGGACTAGAGAATCGGTGTAGGTGACCTTGCTGCTTCCTTCTCTTCTGCTTTGCCTCTCTCACCTATATTCCATCCTTGCCCCTGATCTTCCCTGAGCTACTTTTATGAATACTACAGGGAGCACAGAACTTGTGACAATGTGCGCTTACTGTGATAGTACTGGACTCATAATTTTCACATTATGCTCTTTAGGGTTGTGTACATTTGATCTGACGGTATTTACAGACTTCTTGGAGGGTATACTTTTGATAAGATCTTACTCTCCACCTTATTTTCACACATTGTGTAAGAAGAGAAAGGCCTGCTGAGTCACAAGACGTGTACTGAATGCTCTGAGAGCAAGGGAGTAGGGGAACTCCAGGAATGGATTGATGGCAGGTTATGTGACACTGGTTCAGGGGGTTCCTACTGCTCTGTTGTAGGACAGGACAGAGTCAGGCTGGCTCTCTAGCTCAGGTTTCTGGTTGTCCTTGATGCTGGCCTCTTGCTTGCATGCTCTTAAACTGGGGAACTTGGTTACTCCTGGAGGGACTCACTCATGGGGTAGACTGCAGTCTGGTAACATGAAACTCTGAATTGTGGGAGGGCTCATGGCTGAAGGTTGCATGTTGCAGTTCTTCCAGGCATGACACTTTTTTTTAAGAGAATTTATTCACTAGACACTAAAATTCCAAAAGCTGGTTTTACAAAATACATAGCCAGCTACTTGAAGTAACAGAGGGGTTGTTAAAAATAAGAACTCCAGAAATTTTAGTTAGAGCTTGGAAAAAGATTTGCATTTGCTACTAGTTAAATAAATATTAACTTACAAAAAATTTTCCTGAACCCCATTATTTTGGAGTTTGAAGTACAGAGTAATAGCTCTGCTACTTTATATAGGAAAAAAAGATTCAAGCTTTTGTAACTGTTACAGTTGGGTATTTGAGTATTCTGTACCTGGTTGGTGAGTTTGTTTTGCTGTACTCCTGGCAGTATCCTGTTTCTTTAGTTACAGTAGAAAAAGCTGTTCCCAACTATTGCAGGTTCAGCAGGCTGTGCCACGTCAGCCACCCGGCCGTCAGCAGCCTCAGCAGCCACCTGTTCCTCCATCGGTATCGGAAGAACCTGGTGGCCGTGGGCGACAGAGGGACCTCCCGCGTGTTCCACAAGGCCAGCATGGGAGAAGCCCAGGTCAGAAAGGGTGAAAAAGTCCATTGCCCACAAGAACATGTGTTTTGAAGAGAATGCAGTTAAGACATTTTTTAGACTGTAGTTCTAATTTTTTTTTTCAGAATGAGATTTATTACTAAGATTTGGAAAAGTTCACTGTACATACCTTGTGATGATAGTATTGTCATTCTAAGGTGCAATATAAACTGAACCAGGAATTTTGCAAACTGCCTTAATGTGCTTACTTCATCTGTACCATCTCCTCTATCAAAATAGTTAAAAAGTTTAGAAAGCATTTGGCACAATTAACTGCATGAATACTAATAGTAAATTTCATTTTGATATTTAATTAATTTTTATGACTCTTAGTAAGTAAAACTTTCTTAACTATTTCACATCCCAGCGTATTTAAACACTTCAGTGCCAGCTGGAGCTGAAGCGAAAGATCTGTCCTCCTTGTATTTACAGAAGAGATTATTTATTTGGAGGGTTTACATCTTTTTTTTTTTTTTTTTCATCTGGCTGGCAAGCGGTTCTATTTGCTTACTTGTTAACTGTCTTTAAATCTCAGAAAGTTAATATGTGTTACCTGAATGCTATTTTAAGATGAATTTACTTCATAGCAAAAGCTGAAACTTAGTATTTTGTGATTTCTTTTAATTTTATGTATACCTAACTTTCAAAATGGAATTGTATTTAATTATCTATATATAAAACTGGATTGTAATTCTTCATCAAATTTCTAAACAATAGGAATACAGATTTCGGTGGGATTTCAGGAATTGTCTTTAGCAGATAGGGGTGGACGTCGCAGAGATTTCCATGACCTTGGGGTAAATACTCGGCAAGCCATAGAACATGTTCAAGAATCAAAAACTGGTATGTTCAGATTAGACTACATATAAGCAAGTTGAAATGAGAAACAGTTTTGCTTTATGTCTGCTTTTAGTTATTCTCTAGAGAGCCAAATGAAAAAATCTTCATTGTGTACTAGAAAAAGGTACAAGTTGCTCTTAGTCCCTGAAAAGGAACAGTAAAGAGACATGTCTGATGGCAAAGTGCTTCAGACAGAAGTTGTGTAGCATTTTAAATTGCAACTCTTTAGACATAAGTGATGATCCTTGTATATTCCTGATGTCCAGTTCTTCAAGCTGAACTCTTCAGAACTCTCTAGGTTTGCTTCTAGAATCCATGGTTTGTAAGGCATTGACCTATCTGAATTGGTAAAGCTCTCCTATTAAATGTGGAATTTCAGATCTCTTCTGAAGAGACTTTTTACTTTAAATAAAAGGTGATATGCTTCTTCCCTTGAGATGAAGTCATGCATATGAAAAGTAGTAAAAGCAGGCTGTCATGATGGTCCTGCCTTCCTGGTAGAACACAGTCCTTGTTCATGTTTGACAGGACAGGTTCTGTGCTGATAACAGTTTTGTATTGGAGGTGACTCTGTGAGATACCACGTCAGTGTGACAGCAACCGTAGTCCACTTTTGCTTAATTGAATGGAGCATTAGTGGATCATGCCATGGGCCCAAGAGTAGTAGGGCTTAGTTCTGCTCAGGTCACTTCAGGCTGGGCGCAGTATAGTTGTTATTCTCACCTAGATTTTCTGTTTAGAGCTATACTGATGCAAGGTCATGGATCACTGTACTTTGCAGGCAGCTGCATTGCTGGCCTTTTGTTCTCCTTATAGCTTACACCACAGTTTTGTGGTGTAATACACATGCTTTGTATGTGGTAGAGTTTTTTTGCTTACATCTAGGGTATTGTAATTCAGATAGGGAAAAAAAGGATAAAGAAAACCAGGTTAAAATGGATGATCCATAGTTGTCTGCAATATATTTTTTATATTAGACTTTTAAGTCTAAAAGAAATTTAAATGAGATGTGAAAAAATGAGAAGAAATACATGAATAAGTGATCTGGAACTACTTTTACTGTTGTAGGGGTTTTTGTATGTTTCCTTGTTTGCTTGAAAAATCTTGAAATACCAACAGAAACATTAACTTGTCACGTACGCATGGGAATGTGGATATCTCCGTTGACTGATAGCCTGTTAGTTTTTATTCTATGTTTGTGATTCATTTAAAAGAAGATAAATTTGTCCACAAAGGAGGTTTATGTGTTGGTGGAAATTCATCTCTAGTACATGGTATTGATCCTTCGGGAGATGTTTACTTCATTACTACTAAATGTTTACTTCATTTGATGTGAGAGTTTTCCTGAGAACTGAAGGAATTGTAAAAAGCTCTAAGTGGATGAGTGTCTGTGATAATACTATGCCTGTGTGAGCATTTCCTACAGCTTACTGAGCTAGAACAGTTGCAGAGCACAGCTGACCTCTAATCTTTGTCTGAATGCTTTAGTTTTATAAAATTTCTCAAAGCTGTTGAATTAGTATAAACTGATAAAGTTTTGTGACTACTAAGAATTTTGCCTCTCATTTTAGGTTCTTCAGGTAGTATGATAAAATTAACTGCAAATTACTTTCGTTTGACATCTCGACCCCAGTGGGCTTTATATCAGTACCATGTTGCCTATAATCCCGAGATGGAAGCACGCCGTCTTCGATCAGCTTTGCTCTTTCAGCATGAAGAGCTAATTGGAAAGACACGTGCATTTGATGGATCGATACTGTTCTTGCCAAAAAAATTAGGGAATAAGGTGCGATATGAGAATGCGACTTTACTTTTTATTTTGACTTGCATTTTACACTGCTGCTTGTTTCTTGCTGCTCTGGGTGAAGTTGGACAATTGATGTCCCACGAGCAACATTTAGTTGGATTGAATATATTACTGCAAGCTAATCTGCCTGTGTAGAGAAATTTGGTAATAAATTTCTGGTTTTAATGCTTAGGTTCTTCAGGCTAGAATAATCTGCACAGATAGTACGCACAGTATTTTTCCTTTAGTTTTCATTCTGCTTATAACTTTTCATAACTTCTGTATTTTAACATCCAACATAATTGAAAGGGTGGATGTATTGGGTGTATGTGGGAAGGTTTCAATAGCTGGGGAGTGTGAAGTGACCCCTCTGGGAAGAGGCTGGGGACTGCCCTGTGCTGTACACAGTCTTTTCCAGCTGGCTTCACAGCAGACCCACCACAGACCAAAGCTGAGCCCATCAGGAAAGTTGATGGCACCTCTGTATTTAAAAAGGGGAAAAAATGCGAGAGCAGCAGAAGAATCTAAGAAAGGAGCGGCAGAGGGAAAAGGCCGTGTCCTGATGGAAGTCCCTACCTCCTCCACCTCTGCTCCGTGTGCTGCTCGCTGCCTCGCTGAAGGGACTGAGTAACCAGGGCTGAGTGATAACAGAGAGGGGCAGCAGCATCCAGGGTGACATTGAGCCTGGAAAAGGGAGAGGGGAAAGGTGTTTTCACTATGTGTGTTAATGTTTGTCTTTTTGCCTCCCAGTACCTGAATCAGTAATTAAATATATATTAATTGGCATTATATTAAGTTTATTTCCTCAAGTTGAGTCTTTTACCCTGTGATGGTAATTGGTAAGTGATCTCCCTGTCTTCATTTTGAGTTCAGCTGCTTTGGGGATAGCCTCCATTCTACTCCGTTAGTCATCTTCACCCAAATGAACATTTTAGGTTGTAGTTTACAGTCTGGGTAGGAAACCAATTTCCTGTTTCAGCTAAGTCTTGAATTATTACTTAGAATCTTACTGTACAAGTCCAGATATGCCCTGTTTGCCTCTAGTTTTACTAATCTAACTCCACTTTCTCAGGTTACTGAAGTGACTAGCAGGACTCGAAATGGAGAGGATGTGAAGATAACAATTACGCTGACTAATGAGTTGCCACCTACTTCACCTACATGTCTGCAATTTTACAACATCATTTTTAGAAGGTTTGCTGTCCAAGTTATGCCTTTATAAGAAGTCATTCTAAAATTATCTGACTTAAATGTTTTTCCTTTGTAAAGAATGGACTACAAATCAGTATCACAAATGTAAATTTTTAAGTCTTTGTAGCTACCATTACTGTGTGGCCAGCCACATCTGGCAACACTTTAATGTGCAGTTATATGCATGTTTCTGGCACATGTCAGTGTGAAATTAATTTATAGCTTTTGCCTGCCAAGCAGGTTCACACTGGAATGCTAACTGTTGTGGGCAGTTAGTCCTATCCCTGCCCTCCTTTTGTGTCTGTGAATTTGCCTCTTAAAGCAAAGTGGTGCAGGACCTTGAACTGGCAAATTACTTCTTTTGCCGTAGGCTTTCCATTTAACCTTGGTATCTGGACTACCTGGTTCATCTGAAATGTAGCTTGTTTAGACTGCTACCTTCAACTGGTCGGTGAAGGGTTGGGTTGTATGCTAACTTATTCTTAACTGATTAGTTGTCAATAAGTGTCCATGGCCTTTCTAAACTGAGAATAATGAAAAGTTCACTTTCATGGGAGTGCTATCTAGTCAGATGAATAAAAAATGAGACTGCAGAGGTATGGGACCATGCACATTTTGATAAACTGAATAATAATGGTAAATGACATCCATATTTCAACTTCTAGGCTTTTGAAGATGTTGAATTTGCAGCAGATTGGACGTAATTATTACAACCCCAGTGACCCAATCAACATCCCTAATCACAGGTCTGGCAAAAAGGGTACTTGGGTTTAGGAGGGGTGCAGGGAGAAAGGGTGGTATTTTGATACCACCGTTCTGGTTTATCTTGTAATAAAACCATAGACTTAAAAACTGATATTCCTGGGAAACATGAGACCTCATTCTCATAACTTAGTTTCTTCTGTGTGTAAGATCTCATGACTCGTTACCAGTCTGTATTCTGCTGTTACATTTTATTCCAATGTCAGAAACTTTGCTTAAATGTCTGTAAGGCTGAGATCTCGGAATATTTTAATTCTAAAGCTCAGGAGTTTTCAGCCTTCATTCTGAAGGCCATTTAATTTGCCATGTAAATTCCTATCTGTGCTATTGCTAGCTGTCATGTCTTGTCCCCATTCCCTGCCAGGATCCTGTACCTTGTGACTGGTGCTTCTGGCCAGCCCTAGGCCTGTTGTACAACTTGATGGGTTTGGGTTGGACCGGGGCCCTGTCATGTGCCTGTGGTGTAGTCCTTCCCATTAACCTAGCCTGGAAAAACTGGACAGTGTTCTACTAACAAACTGTTGGTCCTTTAAAAGTGTCTTAAAACCCATACACTTTGTATGTAAGATATTTAAGACTTAATAGTATGAAAAGGATTTATTAGGTTTTGAGGCATCTTTTCTTCCACTTCATTTCTATTGCTACATGATTCAAATAATCTTTTATCTTAAGTTGACTAAAGATACTTGCATGTAAAATATTTTTTGTTTTGTTATTTTTTTAGGAGCTTGTTTATATTTGGATAATGGTTTCTTTGTGTCTTGACTGCTTTACAGTGTCTGGGAATGGACAGAAATAACTCAAGGAGTGAGAACAAAGATGTTTTAAAGCACATTAAGATTCTGTATGTTCTCTTTTGACAGGTTGATGGTTTGGCCGGGCTTCACAACTTCTATCCTCCAGTATGAGGAAAGCATTATGTTATGTACAGATGTGAGCTATAAGGTTCTTCGCAGTGAAACAGTGCTGGATTTCATGTACAGTCTGTATTACCAGGTTGGAGAGGAAAGATTTAGAGATACCTGTGCTAAAGAGCTGATAGGTTTAATTGTTCTTACAAAGTAAGTCTCTTTGGACTCTTATTGTCTTAAGAATCTATTTATTTTTTTGGATTATCCATGTCCTGAAGTATACAATGAAGCATTAGAAAGCATGAACATTATATGATTGTCGAGCTATCAAACTAACCAACGTGAGAGCATTTACAAAAGAAGGAGGTACATACTGGCTTAGTTCTGTTTATTACAGTTTAGCTTTTAGCAGCACTGATAGCCTGTTAGAATTGAAAACTTGGAAGTTACTGCTGCTGATGGGAGCAGACGTTTCAGTTTACATGTGTATCTCTTAACTTTTTTGTCCAACAGTTCTATTTCTTTTCTGAGTGAAAATGTAAAAAAATACCTGATTAAATTGTTTGTTTAGGTACAATAACAAAACATACAGAGTTGATGACATAGACTGGGATGCCAATCCACAGTGTACCTTTAGAAAAGCAGATGGTTCTGAGATCAGCTACGTGGACTACTACAAAAGGGTATGGAAACTTGACTATCAGTGTGTGCAGTATGCTTTAACTTGAAACTTCAGGGCATTGTTAGAGGTTTCCTTATGATACATGGATTTGTGATTCATAGTTTTCTTTAATAGAGCTTTATTTTTAATGGATACTATGTAATCTGAGAGCAGGAGGTAACCTACAGATCGTGATTCAGCATGAGTAGTCCACTCCACTGAATAGTTGGTCAGGCAGAAATGCTAGGGGGTCTGCATGGATGAACAAGAAGCTCGTGGAAAAACACAGAAAGGAAGCATACAGAAGGTGGAAGCAGGGACAGGTAATCTGGGAGGAATAGAGACATTGTCCCAGCACACAGGAATGAGGTTAGGAAAGCCAAATCCCAGCTGGAATTGAATCTGGCCAGGAGTGGTAAAGGCAACAGGAAGGGCTTCTATTAAGTACATAAGTGGCAAAAGGAAAACTAGGAGAATGTGACATAACTGCTGTTAAATGAGGCAGGGCCCCTGGTGACCCAGGATGTGGAAAAAGATAAGATACTGAATGCTGCCTTCACTTCAGTCTTTAGTAGCAGGACCACCATTTGGGATTCCCAGGCCCCAGAGACCAGGGAAAAGTCTGGAGTAGGGAAGGCATGCTGTTGGTGGAAGAGAATAGGGTCAGGGAATACTTAGACGAAATAGACATAGCTAAGTCCCTGGGCCCTAATGGGTTGCACCTAAAGTAACTGAGGCAGCGGGCTCATGTCACTGTTAGGCCACTGTCAGTAATCTTTGAATGATGGTGTCGACAGGGACAAGTGCCTGATGACTGGAGAGAGTCAAATGTCACTCCTCGACATTCAGGATGACAGAGGGAGCTACAGGCCAGTCAGCCTTACACTGATCCCTGGGAAGGTGATAGAGCAGCTAATCCTGGAAACCATTTCCAGGCACATGAATCACAAGAAAGTCATGCTTGACCAACTTGATAAACTTCTGTGATGAAGTGACTGGCTTGGTAGATGAGGGGAGAGCAGAGGATGTGTTCTACCTGGGCTTCAGTAAGGCTGTTGACAAGGTCTCCTGTCAGAACCTCGTAGAGAAGCTGGTGAAGTGTGGGCTGGATGAGCAGACAGCGAAGCACATTGGAAGCTGTCAGAGTGGCCAGGCCCAGCGGGTGTTGATGGGGGGCACCATGGAGGCATGTTGGAGGCATGTAACTTGCAGTGTACCCCAGGGGTCAATACTATTTAACATCTTCATTAATGATCTGGATGATGTGGCAGAGTGTACCCTCGGCAAGTTTGATCATTTACTGGAGGTAGAATATGTGAACAGTCATCTTAAGAGAAATCACTCTTGATACTTTTGGTTCTTTGAAACAAAGTTTATATATACATATATATAACAAAGTCTTTTGTAGCTTAACCTTCTCTACCGTTGAGGCCTGCCACTCTTAATTGTGAAATGTTCCTGCATATCGATTTCAGCTGCAAAACAGGATGGGGCTTAATAAACTAGAAGCAAAATTTATATTATCCATGCCAGTTCAGGACAGAGTTTATAAATGATAAATTTTCTCTGCCACCTTGCCTTTGCTGTGATCTCACTTTTTTGTTTTTAAATGGCCATCTATTGGATGGGTTCTGAGGTGGTGTTCTCTTTAAGAAAAAGTGAAATTATGAAGTATGTTTGACTGTCAGCTTGTGTTGCCTTTTTGTGGGTTTGTCTTTTTCTAAACTAAATTATTGACTGCTAGACTGACCCAGCTGTTGCCAGATGCAAGGGAAAGTTGCAGGAGAGCTGAATTTCAGATACTTCACTGGGAATCTCATTTGTTTCTTGTGATGTCTTGAATAAATTGCTCTGTAGGGCAGGAACCTTGTCCATTACTGAACTGGAATGAGCATCCTGATCTTGAGGTAGAGACTCTGGGTGACACTGTCTCAAGCAAGGCAGTAGCACCTTTTCTTGCAATTCAATACTTGGATGGCACCAATATAGTGCGGCCCTGTTTTGGCCTTTTCTGACAACACCAGTTCCTCTCAAATTAGATTTGCAAACTAAAAAAACTGCTGTTGGCTTTATTTTGGTTTTGTTTATTTTAGGACAAATAATAATTTTCTAAAGTGAGCATTATTGAGAAAACTGGAGTGTTTGTTATGAATAAACTAACATACAATATACATATTTCTCTAATACAGCAATATAATCAAGAAATTACTGACTTGAACCAGCCTGTCTTGATCAGTCAGTCTAAGAGGAAGAGGGGAGATGTGGTGCTAGGACCTGCGGTTCTAATTCCAGAGCTGTGTTTCCTAACAGGTACTGTAGTGGGTTTTTTGTATCAAAGCATTTGTCAAGTCACAGTGCCTACTGAAACTGGTATTTTGACAGCAGCCTCTTGCCAAATTAAGTAGAAATGGTTTGTTTGTGTAAATGTGAGTTTAAGAACAATTTTTGTAAATATTAAGTATTTAAATTAGGGGTGATGGTGTTGATGTTGTATAGTCTTTACGTACAGTGTTCAACTTTTTTTAGTCCTTAATTTTTAACTTTTACTCAGAAAAAGATTTTGCTGTTAACAGGATTAACTGAAAAGATGCGTAGCGATTTTAATATGATGAAAGACTTGGCTATTCATACACGGCTCCCGCCTGAACAGAGGCACTGTGAAGTTAGAAGACTTAGTGACTACATCCAGAAGTATGCTACCTTAATATCTTCTGTACTTATTACCATACTCATTTTTCATATCAAACTTCTTGGAATAAAACTTTGGAAGTCTTACTGGTTTTAAAAAAAAGTCTCATCAAGAACAAATTTTTTAAATTTAAATCTTGTTTTTAAACAGAGATGAGAATGTTCAGAAGGAACTCCGAGACTGGGGTTTAAGCTTTGATTCTAAGTTACTATCCCTCACAGGAAGAGTAGTTCAAGGAGAAAAGATTCTTCAGTCAGGAAATGCGGTAAATAAAACAGCTTCTTAAATCTTCCGGATCTCTCACTGATGAAGCAAGTTCTTAAGGAAGGAAAACATTACTTGTTGATTTATAAATGAAAGATTATGAGTGAAAAATGTCATTTGTAAGTCTTTGTCCAAACAGGATAGTCATAATCTTCTTAATTTGTTTGCAAGTTGTTTAGAAACCCCGGAAGATTTTTCTGGCTTGTATTACAGTAGTGTCTTCCTTGCAAAACAGTCCATTTCCCTTAAAGTCATTTCACATAAACAAACTAGGAGACTAGAGATATTTGTAATTCTTTTCCATTGATGACAATACTAAGGCTTTCAAATGAAAAGCCACTGATTATTTCAGTTCAGAAGATAGAACATGTACAGTATCTTCACTCAAAGGTGTGGTGACTCTTCAGTATGAATAATTAAGTCAGATTGCTGTAAAACATTATATATTTGCTCTGTAGTAGAGATCTTTTGTTTGATTTGAATGGATGCTCGATGGAAAAGGGCATTTTATAGTATCTTGATCTGTAGATCTTGATTGGGCTTTGAGCAGCCTGGCCTAGTGGAAGGTGTCCCTGCCCGTGGCAGGGGATTGGAACTAGATGATCTTTAAGATCCCTTTCAACTCAGACTATCCTATGATTCTATACCTGTGTGTTTGGTAAGACTTCTTTTATTCCTGTTATTGAAAAGATCTGATATCTTCTTTATAATAATACTTTTCTTCTCAAGCAGTTACTTACTAAAAAGAAAAATGGGAGAAAAATAAGTTTATACATAAACAGCTATGTCTTTGTAGGGCAAAATCTGTGCAGCAAATAGTAACAACTTACCTGGGCTAAAAAATCTTAAGTATCTTTGTATAATTATGAATGAAACATTTGAAGACTGTATGATTTCTTGAAAGGGTAGATAAAGCTTGTTTTAGATTAGTGACAATAACAGTAAAGGAACAAATAAAAATCAAGTCATTTGTTCTGGGCAGAAGTGATACAGTCTGTTATGGAAGTGTATTGGCAAGTAGATGTGGTATAGCTTGCATGGTAAGGTGCTGATTTTCTTTCTCTACCATCTCTTATTTACAGTTTGACTACAATCCTCAGATTGCTGATTGGTCAAAAGAAACCAGGGGAACTCCCTTAATCTGTGCAAAGCCTCTGGACAACTGGTTATTGTTATACACACGGCGCAACTATGATATTGCTAATACATTAGTTCAAAATCTGTTTAAAGTCACACCATCTATGGGGATCAGGATGAACAAGGCAACCATGTAAGTGTCTTTAGAAAGCTGGTGGAAATATCATTTTATACATACTAAGGTGTGGGACTGGACTTGAAAATCTCTCAATCACAACACTAAGGTATATATAAGGTATATAGCATGTCTTAGGCTGTTAAATGAGGGGATAGTATACTATGTCACACTGACTTCTGTGAGATTTTGAATAAAACAAAGTTGCTTTTAGTATGCAAATTGTTCAGTTTTTCTTAGTGCCTGACTTTCTTATACTTTTATTTGGGAGAGCTTTCACTGGGGGTTAAAGCATCCCAAAACCAACTAGTATTAGACATGTAGTCATTGAGCAAAACCTTCTCAAGCGGAGCTGTTTTTAATACAAGAAGGATTATATATTGCTGACTTTGGATGCGTTCTGATTTCTTCCCATTGCAAATACCTTCCTTTGAGTACCTGTGCTTGCTTTTAACTTTGAATTTCATTGCTCTTGGAAGCATAAGGTGGGGATGATTCCTCTTAATCTTCAAAATGTGTGAACATTGTATGTCTGTTAATAGCTATAAATGTATACACTACTGATGTATAATGAGCATTTATGTTTTTGCTGAAGTTTCAGTAGCTGCTTTTTTTTTTTCTGTAAGCATGTTTTCTCTTCCATTTCAGGATTGAAGTAGATGATAGAACAGAAGCTTATTTAAAGGGTTTACAGCAAAGTGTTACTCCTGACACAAACATAGTATGTATTCGAATCCATAATTTGAAATCATGTTAATCTCTAATTGGTGTGTTAAAACTAGTGGGAATCATCCTCAAAAATAAAACTCTTGGCTTCTGAGTATCTACTACATGCCTACTCATAGTCCTGTTGAAACCCCAGACTAACCGTGAGTATCCTTTATATTTGACTCTGAAGTATAGACACTGAAAATTTCCAGGTATTTCTTTCATTGTGAACCCTTGAATATTTCTCTTGAGGATAAGAAACTTTTCCTAAAGAACTACAACTGTTACGTAAATCTGATAATGAAGCTCTTAAAAGCCTTTTTTTTTTTCCCTTTAAAGGTAGTTTGTCTTTTGTCTAGTACCCGAAAGGATAAATATGATGCAATCAAGAAATACTTATGTACAGATTGTCCCGTTCCAAGTCAGTGTGTGATTGCTCGCACTTTAAGCAAGCCTCAGACTACTCTGGCTATAGCAACAAAAATTGCTCTACAAATGAACTGTAAAATGGGTGGAGAACTTTGGAGTGTTGAGATCCCAGTAAGTAATTTTTCTTTTGAATGATAACTGTTTTCTTTATTGAGCCTTTATTAAAAAGCAAGCCTTTTTCCCCCAAAAAAAGAAAATTGATTATTTTTTGTGTAGTTTGTTTTGTGTCTGTGAGAAGAGGCATGAAGTAAGTATGACATAAGGGGATATTTAATTCAACAATTCAGTGCCTATGGTTTACTTACACCATACAGCTTATATTATGGTCTTGTTATGCTATAGGATGGAGGTGATAGGTGCTCTGGCATGTCTTCACCTACTAATACACGTTCTGTATTGATTCTTTTTAAGCTGAAACAGGTAATGATTGTGGGAATTGATTGTTACCATGACACTCTATCTGGAAAGCAGTCAATTGCAGGATTTGTCTCTAGCCTGAATCAAACGATGACAAGGTAAGATAGGAATGCCAAACCAAACAAATCTTTCTCTTTCCCTTAACTGAAAAGTAGTTTGGATGTGGTGGACCATCATGAAAGTGTCCAAATTGATTTACTGTACATTGTTAATAAGAACCATATATTGTGAATTAGTTTTTGTCCTGCATCCCTTAAGGCGTAGCCTTGTCCTTCTTCCACAGTGCTTGGGAGAGGGGGCAAATGGCGGGGCAAGAGCTGGGTTGTATAGAGGGTATAAGGCTGACAGGATCTTCTGCCTTTTGAGTTGACTTCTGTGAGAGGTTTCTGAGAGGAACTGCATGAGGTGCTAAGGCATTTGTCTACCACAGGCTTTTCGAGGGAAATGTTCTCATAGTACATTAACTCTTGCTTGACTGCCTTGACCCACAATAGCCATAAGGACTAAGTGGTCATAGCTGTCTTAAAAATAACTTTGTTGAAGTAAGCCTGGGAAATGCTCTGAAGATCATAATTTATTTTATCCTCCACAGGTGGTTCTCCCGCTGTGCTGTTCAAGGTCGTGGGCAAGAACTTGTGGACGGGCTCAAAGCCTGCTTGCAAAGTAAGGGAAAGCTTTCTGTTCTTGTTAATAGCTTGTTGGATAAAAACAGATTTAAAAATACAGTTGTAAATATTGCTGAAAATTAATGACATTTTGTGTACATTCTGTCATTGATTGCCATATTTCTTAAGTAAGTACTATTTATCAATGCACTTCAAAAAATGCTTTAAAGGAGATGAATTTAAAGGGTGCCTGCTCCTTGCTGTGAGAGAGGCCAGCGGAGTAGATAATCTCCTTAGGTTCGTTCTTTTTGTGTTGTTCCACAAGTAAACTAAAATTCTTTTGTGTATCGTGACACACCACCAGTTTCAGGTTACTGAAAGATTGAGGACCTTACGTTTCAAAATGTACTGCTCTTTTTCCAGTAACAAAGCCCCATTTTTGTGCTGGAATGAATTGTCATTATAGCTAACGGCTTTTACTATATTTTAAATTTTTTTTTTTAAGCTGCTCTAAGAGAATGGTTCAAGTGGAATAAGTATTTGCCCTCTCGTATTATTGTGTATCGTGATGGTGTAGGAGATGGACAACTAAATACACTGGTTAATTATGAAGTGCCTCAATTTCTGGATTGCTTGAAGAGTGTTGGTAAAGACTACAAGTAAGTCTGTTTCAACCAGCCCCCTTTTTTTTTTTATACTGCAAGATAAATACTGGGATACAAAAATGAGGATTGACACTGGGTTACAGATGAAGATTGTGTTTTCTTTTCATCCTCACTTATTTTTACTTGAGCTTAAATAACTGCTTTTCTGATGATTGTTTACATGAAACCTAACTTGTAATATAGTGGGAAAAGTTTTTAGTAGCACACCACATGGTTATTCAATACACATGTATACACATAAACTCTTCAGCCATTCTTGATTCATGTGGTAATTAATACTTTTTTCCAACTGGTTGATCATAGTCTGATTACTCCCACATGTGTCCCGTGGGACCTCTTCCTCTTCAATGCTGAAAGGATTACCTGTTGTCCAGTCACTCGTGTTCGGCAGAGTTTTCAACATTCTGCTTTAAAATTTACCAACTACAGTGACTCTGGGTTTCCTAATCTGCTCTGAAAAACTGAAAGATTTCCTGACACTACATGCAAGCAGAGCACAGAACAAGTTGTTCTTCTGTTTAGCTTCTGTTAATGACTTGCTCTTTACCAAAAATACAGTTAAAACATGCTGTTTTCTATATGAAAAGTTGAGGTAGAGAGGGAGTAGAAATCAGATCTGTGTTTAGAAGATCCCTTTTTCGTATTTTATGTCTCCCTATGAAGTTAAATATAATCTGGATTGGTGAGAAATAGTATCAAAGTTGCACCTGAAACTGAAAACCGACATTGATGAACAATGTCCTGTTTAATTTAAACCGATTAATTGAAGATTTGCATGTGAAATTAAAGACCTGGAGAACTCTAAAATTGCTTTTAACCTGAAATTCTAGAGAATCTGCTCCTTGAAATACTCTCAGTGCAGTTTTTCAGGATAGTTTTGGGTTTTCTTATTTTCATTTATTTTAGTCCAAGACTTACTGTGATAGTTGTGAAGAAACGAGTGAGCACCAGATTCTTTGCACAGTGTGGAGGAACACTTAAAAACCCACCCCCTGGTACTGTTGTTGATGTGGAGGTGACCAGACCAGAGTGGTAAGTTACTATGGAAGAAACACTCTGTGTGCTGACAACCTGATAATAAAGGAGATATATCTGGTATTAAAGGGTGAGATCGATTAGAATAATACTTTCCACACTTCTGTCCCTTTGAAATGAAATCATAGGGAACGTGCAGATGAAAGAAATGGACAAGGTTAAATTTTCTGAGTTTATGATGCAGTGTGTCATGGTTTCCAGGATGCAGTATTTGCATACATCACAGTATTACCTGTACTTCAAGGAATTGTGTGTGCGTTTCACTTTTTGATGTTTCTCTTTCTGATTTTTAAAGGTTTAGTACCAAATGAGTGCCTACTGATAGGATTGCCCAACTGTCCTTATCTGAAATTAAATTCTGGCTGTAGTTTTGACATTGCGCATAAATTTTATGACTTCGTAAGGGTGCATTTTATGAGCAAGTGCTGGAAGTATTCTTTGGTGGTTGGGAAGTCACTAGAAGAAGACTCAGAATTGTACGGTTATGTGTGTAGGTAACACGTACACAGATCTCCCCGGCTTCACTTGCTATTGGTACTGAATGTTTTTGCATGTCACGCTGCGTGACGCTCAGGTCAGGTACGTGGGCAATGCAAAGCTTACTCTGTACACGATGATAGGGTTGGCTTTGGTCAGGGGACGCTGGGGCACACAGGGAGCACTGCACTTGTCTGTAAGTCGTTTTGCCTTTCTTGTTTTGTATTTTACCAACTCACTGCAGGTGTTCCGAGTGTTGTGCTAGGTGACAGACATCCAGGCACGGCTCAGGGTGCGAGAGGAAATGAGGAGAGTAAGCCATGTGCTTTTGCAGTGTGGTTATTGAGATGAAAACTGTATGATGGAGGATTAAGATCTTCGTGGTCTTAAGACCTGTTCTGTATAAGATTATTTATATTCTTCCAGATCTCCTGGCCTTTCAGAAATAAGGGAAACCGATTGCTTTGTGGCCAAAGCATAGGCATGTTTTTGGGGTTTACTCAATATGCACAAAGTGACTTGAAGGAAATAAGACAAATTTGGGTGGATTTGTGTTTTTCTAAGAAAAGCAGCCCTTCCTGCATTGGACTTCTGGGTGTTTTGTTTGTTTGTTTTTTTCTATTACAGGTACGATTTCTATATTGTGAGTCAGGCGGTGAGAACTGGTTGTGTTGCACCCACTCATTATAATGTAATTTATGACACTAGCAAACTGAAGCCTGATCATGTGCAACGTTTAACCTACAAACTTTGCCACATGTACTATAACTGGTCGGTAAGTATTTCCTCTGGGAAATTATAATATTTTTCTTCTAAGATTTGTGCATCTCTATGCAGTAACAACCCACACAAAGCTAGAAAAAATAATCCTTAAAACACCCGTGCAGATCCAGCAAACCTGCAAGTATGCCTTGTGACCTAGAGTGGTGGTTTGAGATCTAGACATTTTATAATTACGTGATTTCTCTGAAGTCTGAAGATTAAAGTCATCTTTATTCTCACCAGAAAATACTTGTCATTTTGAGTACTGTTCCAAAATTCTATGTCAAAAGCAAAATGATTATTTCTTACCTGCAGAAATAATTACTTTGTGTGGAGATGAACTGTGTTCCTCCATTTCCCTTGGGGCTGCTTCTGTTGCATACCAAGATCAGCACACAGTCATTGCCCAAGGTGTGCTTTAGGTTTGTCAGTTTAGTATTCATAAATATTTCACGTTTCTTACCCATGTCCTGCCTTACTGGTGAGATCCGGCATTGAATGTAAACCTGCGTGAGAGGTGGTTTTGGAGTGAGGAGGGGAATGGGGTTGAGCAGTTTCTGCATCTGTTCTTCTATAAAGCAGGGTTTTTTCATGTATTCAGTGTATGTAATGTTTTCACAAATGGCATAAGCTACAGGGAATACAAATTTTACATGTATCCAGACTTCTGAATTCCAGGACTCTTTGTTACAGTAAATGCATGCTTATTTAGATGACTTGGAAATAATTTTTTTTTTTTTTTTTTTTTTTTTTTTTTTTTTTTTTTTTCCCTTCTGCAGGGTGTTATCAGAGTACCTGCTCCTTGCCAGTATGCTCACAAACTGGCTTTCCTTGTCGGCCAGAGCATTCACAGGGAACCAAACCTGGTGCTTTCAGACAGACTTTACTATCTTTGAAGTTGAGTTACCAGCTAAGAAGAACGGTGTAGTTCCTTTCTAGGGAATGTCGAATTGTGTGGGGTTTTGATTCGGCTTGTTTTGCTTGTTTATTTTTGAGATGTGCACGGGATAATAAGTATGTGCAGTTGTAAAACTTTATTTTCATTGTAGCAGCTAAAAGCTTGAGATGGCAGGTCTGTATTTTGAGTAAGTCTCTGCTTGCTATAAAATCCAATTTCAAATATTTTTTTTTAAACACTTTAGTAAATAAGTGTTTCTAGGAATCTTCACAAAAGATTATCAGTTGTTCTTTTTATTTTGGGGAAGTCTTACACAGACTTATTTTTAGCATACAGGATATGTAGTTATACAGACCAAAATTCAAACTTCTCCACCTAGCACATTACACTTCTAACTTTCAAAATTCAATTGTTGCTTGTTTGTTTTTCTTGGTTGTTAAAATGAGGACAATATTTTATCTCCTAAAGTATTTCATATCTTACAAAGAGGTTACCAGATGTTCTTGGTTATCAAGACTTTAAGATGGCATAGTGCTGCGGAAACCCAGGGAAGGGTTTTTAATACTTGCCCTTGTAAGGGATTTGCAGACCAACTAGAAACTGTCTTGTGCTTGCTCGTGTCTCCCCAGAAGTAGAGGGAAGTGGGACTTTTTCAAACTGCCATAGCTGAGGAGGAAGTTCTGTGACTGCCAGAGTTTCAGGAATGAGTGTTGTGGGTAAAATTATTTCTGTATCTTACCACAGCTATCAGAACACCTTTGTTATCTGGGGGCTACAGTATTCTCCACAAAAACTGATGGCTTTGGCTCAGTTTGAATGCTGTTACAGGAACTGTGTGACTTAGATGGAATTTCCTATTGACATTAGGCCTTGGTTTGTATTGTCCTGCCAAGATGGTAATTGGTAACTATTCTATGGGAATGTCTTAATTTGTAAAGCAAATGGGAGTTGTGTTGATACGTTGATTCCACATTTTTGGGTTACCAGGTGCAGAGTCAACCTAGTGCATATGGAAGAATTTGGATTAGTGCTGGTTTTTTCTAACTAACTTGTAATCTTGTTACTTTGTGAGATTTAAATAAAGTTGATACTATAATCCTTGCTTGTTGGATTGTGTTAGATGCATTTGCTTACTTCAAGAGTGGGCTTTGGGCATGCTACAGGACATCAGCGAGAGTAACTTTCTAACCATTTTTTACCTCTGGGAAGCTCTTGGAGTCTTGTGTTTAGATCAGCCTTTATTCTACAATAAACTTTAGCAGCTGTCGACAGCTCTGAGAAATGAGGGTGCTCGAGAACTTGTGTTCAGTTCAGCTATTTTCTAGGCTGTGAGAACTGTTCAACCTCCTCCTTCCACATGAAACGTCCTATGAAGAGAGGCATAGGGGGTTTCGACAAATATTCTGGCCTTTCTGATATCACACAATGGCAGCTTTCCCTACTCACTACTTAATATTTTGTGTTTCTTCCTAGTTACGTATCATGTAGTTATACCTGTCAGGGGGATTCATTCTGTTCCAGTTTGTGTCACTTGAGGTCAACAGAAAAGGAGCTTAGTGCTGCTGCTTCCCGAGGGGCTGCAGGAGGGCAGGACGGGGCCTCGCCGGGGCACGGTGTCCCCACAGGTACCTGGGGCAGGGGCGGTGGCTCTCGGGGCTGGGCCCTCCCCGCTCCTGTCTGAGCCTCCCGAAGGGCACGACTGGCACAGGCTTTGAGAGCTGATACAGTAGGGTCATGAAACATACTGCACTCTACAAAATATCAAATTATTTATTTATATAAAATATAATACACAACAGTTGTACACATGCACACACCCACACAGTACTTTACCACAAATTTAGGCCAGTTATTTTCTTTAATTAAGTGTTATAATCTAGCACACAGTATCTTACAGTAATTTACATTATTATCTGAAGACACAATGGGGAAGCTTTGATCATTCATTTATAAACCTTCCATAAATTACAAAAAGAAAGGCAGTCTGAAAAGTATGTATAAACAGTAAAAACAATTTACAAATGGACAAGAATTACAAAATAGTAACAGCCAATGACTGCCATCAATGTGTACGATTGTTTTTCTTGATATGCCAATATTGCAATTAATACTTGATTATCACCTGTTGCAGCCTTTTTACTGGCTACAGCTTGTGTCTAATGCAGTTTTTCACTTCTTACTTTAGACATGCACTTTATCTTGAATCTGACATCAATATGAAAATGCCTTTTAGGACTGTACCTCCCCAGGAAAAGAGGTTGGAGAGTAAAGGGCTTTATTGTGGAGTATTTCTGTTGGTTTGTTTGGGTTTTGTGGTTTGTTTTTGTTTTTTTTTTTTTTTTTCCCTTGGTAATTTCAAACAGTGAACCAGGAATTCCAAAACTGGAGGTTGTAGTGTTGAAACTGGGTGAGTCTCTGAATAACTTGCACTGTATCTGATTTCAGTTTAGTGAAAATGTTGACAAAAGAAATCGATACAAGGGGTTTGGGTTGGAAAAAAAACAACCAAACAACAAAAGAAGCAAAAACCAAAAAGAAAGCATTTTGCACAGCACTTTCAAACTCCCAGGAGTTACATCAGACATTGAATGGAGTCAGTAACATAGTACTTGATCTTAAATTACCATGTTTTAGGGAAGATGAAGACAGTTGAATACACAGTACATACAAAGTATACGCTGTATATTTATTAGACAGTACAAATCATTGTGCATTAATAAGGCAAAACATCAAGGCTGATAAACTAGGAGTTTCAAGACCATTTTTGTGTATGATAAAGGTTAGATACAGTGGGGTGATCTCTCTGAACCAGGAATCAAGGAATAGAGTTTTCTTCCCCCCACTCATGGTTAGAGGAGATTAAAGGCTGAGATTTATCCAGTGGAGTTGCAGGTGTTGAGTTGACTTCAAATAAAACCATGTTCTTCTGGTCTTAATCCCACAATTACTTTTTTTTTTAAGAAAAAAATGCAATAACACATCCACTTCTTTTTTTTTTTTCTTGCTGTTTTGATTAAAGCAATTCACATGATTCTATTGATGTCAGAGTTAAAAATGTAAAGGTTTGGTAAAGTTGCACTGCATAGTCATGAAAGCCCTAGTTTTGACGTTTAAAAAAAAAAAATAAAATACACAGACTGGAAGCTTTACAAGTTGTCCAGGAGTACATGAATCATTTCACTGCACCAAGCTTTTTCAGCAGTTTCTTGCCTTTGGAAAGCAGCCCCTTTTTCTTTTTCGAGGACATATCCCTGCCTCTCCCGGGACTACCAGACCCCATAGGTGACGGAGGTGACCCAGAATGGAGATGAACTGTGGGGGATGGTGCTCTCCGTGATGTACCTGTATTCTCAGGAGGAACCTATTAGGTACATTGTTATAATTTATTGAATGTTTGAAAGCTTAAATGCTATTATCATCAAGAAAGTTGGTAACATCACTTGTCCCATTACCCACTTAAACAAAAGGGCTGATTCCTTTCTTTCTTGTGGCTTAAAATACTGTATGGGCTTACAGAAAATACACAAATTTTGAGGAAAAAGTATAGAGAACAGGAAATGCTCCAGTAGGGCCCTGTTTTGGTTATACTTTTTTAAAGAAAGAGTTGGATACACTTTTTGCCATAGTTCTGGCCACAAAAGCCACAAAACTGGTTTTGGTTTTGCATTTCAGTACTCTGATAGTACAAAAATGAGGAGAGATACTTGTAGCTATAGATTTAAGAAAAATAAATGTGTTAATTACTACAGATTAGCAATCTATACAACTCAAACTTTTCAGAAGATATGATTTAAAATGCTACATGATCACTTATTTTTAAATGTCATTTAAATGCCTTTTATTTAAAATTGGCTAGCAAACTTTATGTACATATTTGAGAAGATGGCACACTGGCTTAAAAAAAAAAAAAAAAAAAGAAAAAGCTAAAATGAACCTTAATTGCAATCAAAGAAAGCTTAAAGACCCTGACTGCTTGATGTGTATGCTGCAGCTATGAGGTTGCTGAATGAAGGTGAATACTTGTACGATAGATGACAGCATTCCTAAATATTTTAAACAGCTATTTTTTTTTTTTTTAATCGTCAAAAGCACTTGAATGAAAATGCTAAAACTACTACTCAGCCTATCCTAACTACTGTGCCTGGCTGACAAAATGTTCTCCTATCAATTAAGATGATATTTTTGTAGTAGAATCCATGCCTCAGGGACCCCGTTACCTTGTAGTTCAAGTTAAAACATTAGCGATTTACTGGCTTGTGCAACAGTGAGTTAAGCAAAGGGGCTTCAAGCCTACTTTGATTTTAAATCAAGGTCTAATTCTAATGAAAAAAAAAAAACAACAAAAAAAACCAACTTGGTAAAGCACCCCAACGTACACCTGAAGATACCATATATTTAGTCTAATGCATTCATTCATGAGCTGCATGGCTCATACTGAGACTTTTATTGCATTGGTAAACCAAACAAGTTGCTAGTATTTCAAATGTGCACTTTCTAGGAAAATCTGAGTAAATTGTACCATATGAAGGAATTTTTTCAGAATTGTTGAATACTTGGTCTTAGGCAGACTGGGGTATAATCGATTGTGGAAAACACATTTTAAGGCAGACAATTAAGTAGCTGTATTTGAGTGTAATGAGTTTCAAAACCAACTATACCCTCGTAAACTACAGTACGTATCAGCTTACGTTTCATTTGTTTGCTCTTTAAGGGTTGGGGGTGTTGTGCTTTTCTCTTGATACAGGAGCTTGGAATTGTTATGTCCCAGGTTGGCTAACAATGCAATATGCAGCTTTGTTTGTAGGGTAGTTAGACATCCAACTCTCCTTTCTACGTAAACAGAAACATTTAGCTCATGAAGAAATATGTTCCAAACATTGACCTTCATAAAGTGAGGTCTAATTGATGTCTTTCTAAGGATTCCTTTTTAAAGGATTTGTCTCCTAAAAAACCTAAATTGACTTCACTAAATACAGTGATAACATACAGCCTTTTCTTCTGTGGCCAAGGATTTTGGAGACATATTTCTTTTTTTTTTTTTTTTCCCCCACAATTAAGTTTCAAGACTTGCATTAGATAGCCAGGTAGCTTTAATTGAAATCTCTATTGGTATCTTCAGTTGCTCACTTACGTGAAGGCTACATTGCCTTATTAAGGTGTGAAATGAACACTCTTCTTCTGTTTCCAAGCAGATGAGCAAAGAAATAAAAATATATATAAAATATATAATATATAAAAGTATTGCAGTGATGAAACAAAACCAAAAATGAGATACTCTAAACATGATTAGTCTTTCACAAAAGGGAAGTCTCTGGGCAGTTAACTCATGCCAGTTGGAACAGGAAGTCATAAGGAGTAAAAGATCAATCAGCTGCGTTTACAACTTGTATTTAGAGGAGCGCTTGTACCAGCCTTTCGTCCACAAGAACTTTCGCTTTCATCTAGATATTGCATGTACTAAGAGTAGTTTAGAAGCATTAGGAGGTAACTACTTTCACCAGGGAAAAGCTGCTTAAACTCGAATTATAATTGAAGATACTGGAATGACTGCAATCAAATGGTAAATTTAGTTTCTTCGTTTACAAATGTAACGAGCTAGCCGGAGGCTAAGTCAGGTCATCTTTCTTTATGTTTTGTTTTATAGATCTGAAAGTTAATTTTAAATGGGCAAATGGATTTAAAATGTTAAAAAGTAATGTCTAAATTATATATGAGACAAAATGGAATGGAAAATAAAAAGTCAAGTTTTTCTTATTTGGTTGCTTACCCTTTTTGCTTTTGTACGCATCGGTGTATCGTGAACGTATCGCGAGGGTGCATCAGACAGATAGACTTCAACATCGTCAGGCACTTCTTCAAGAAAGTTGGAAGGAACCAGCCCCTTCTGTCCGTTAAGTTCACCCTGCAAGGGCATGAGAGTGTCAGTGACTGAATTACAGAGAATGTAGGTTCCCGAGAAGGTCAGCAAATACTTCTGAGCATTTCAAAGCCACCGAGGCAGAGGAAATACCCATCTCGGGTCACTTGGGTCCTCACACACTTCTGAAGCTCAGAGCGGGGGCTGTGTGTCATGGAGAGCAAATGCACCCCCCTGGTCCTGCTCTGGAGCAGCACGACCCGAGTTCCCACAGCCTGCAGGCACTCCGAGGCCATCGAAGTACTCCTTGGGGCTTCTACAATGGGCCTGGGGCAGCTGGGCCCGTGTCTGTGGCCAACGCGCCGCGGAGACGGCAAAGGCCAGCGCACAGCTCGGGTAAGGGGGAGTGCAGCTGGGCAGGCAGCGCTGGCACGGGGTCTCCCACCGTTAAACTCTTCCTCTTATAGGAATGACAATCAGGTAACTAGTGCTTAAAGGACTACTGTTATTTTAATCTAATAACTTTATCATAGGGACAAGCTGGAGCTAGGCTTTTTAAAAGTTTTCTACCCACTGGAAGCCATTCACACCTTTGCAGGTGTATGATCCAAAGGCACTTTCCAGCAAACTAAATGAGCCAGATACTCCTTATAAAATGCCAGAGGCAGCTCTGAGCTGCACAAACACCCTAAAAACAAGGGCTGAAGGGGCAGCATGACCTCGGGGACCATGCGATCCCCCAGGGCCCCACCCCAGTCCCTGCAGCAGCAGGTCCCCTCCCTCTGAGGGTGCTGCCAGGCTTGCCCTGGGGGTTGGTGGTAGGTTGGGATCCCAGCTCTTCCCACAACGCGGGAATGGGGATCTGAAACCCCCCCGGCTCTCAGCAAAGCGCTCACGCTGGCGCCGACGGCTCGACCCGTGTGTGGCAGGGACCGAACAAGCCAACTTACATAGTAAAACCCATCTTCATCGATCTCGCCAAAGACAGTGATGATATCCCCTGTGCAGAACGTCAGCTCAGCCTGCGGGAAAGGGAACACGTGACAGCACATGTTTTGTTAGGCAAAGGTTAACGTTTTCTTTATTAATCCATTCATATTTTTTAATCCATTAATGTTTTCCCCTCTCTTTATGTTAAGATACAGTTGGTGAAACGAATTGAACTTTGAAAGCAAAACCTTTTTTTTAAATTTTTTTTTTTTTTCCTTAGCTTCCTGAACCTGGGACCTCTACCACTGGGTTCGTGGCACCTACAGGATCCCTGCGACAAACAAGCTGAGTGAAACCAGACCTTTGAGATACTCAGACCTCACCTGTGCGAAGCCTTGAACACCCTGAGCAAACTCTGAAGCTTTGAACTACACAGCCTCAACGGTCCCTTGCAGTCAGTCTCCTGTGAGGGGGAACAAGGCGCAGGGGTGGGACAGGGCGCAGGTCCAGGCTCTGCACTGAGCTGAGTGCCAGGACTAACGGCTACAAGAACAGCCGAGACGGCTTTTCTGCACCACAGAGCTGCTGCGCTGAAGCTACGCTGGATTCTGGTCAATAACGGGCTTCCTAACAGGCATCTCCAGGCTCCCATTTGCAAATACCATACAGGGCTCTTTTTAAAGTGCCTGTGGTTTAATTGGAATTTAATTATGGTTTTTAAACTTATTTTTAATTTCCTGTGGCCATGGGAAAGAGAACAAATAAAATATTTGCAACATCTCAGTAAAATTCACTTGATTTGTTGCCTGAACTACTTTAAAACTCCATAATTTAGAACCAGGTTTGGTTCAGTGAGAAATACAAGACAACTCTGGCTGCATTTTAAAGCACCAAGCGCCACATATTTCAAAATTCACTTTGTTATTTAAAAAAATTCCAAATAGTTCTACAGTTTGCCAATTAAAAGGAAAAAAAAAATAGCTGAGGAAGCTCCTAGGTCTGCAGTATTTTTTGAGAGCTTTGTGTGTACCAGACATTCTTCCCACAATGTGTATATAATGAAAACTGCATCACCTCCTGACTGAGGAACTTACCAGGTAACACCAAAGACAATGTAAAAAGTGATGCTATTGCTGCTGGTAACAAATACGGAGAGAGGGGAGACTGGAAGATAAATCCATAATGAAGATCCAGCTAATGGTTGCTGTTTTTTAAATGACAATCTAGCTAGTGCTCAGTTGTTGACATCCTTACATTGTTATAAAAAGAAGATTAAAACCAAGACAAATACTCATGAAAGCTCAGACGCATCAGTTAAGGGAAAAATACAATATATTATGAGTGCTGTACTATATTCTGTTTGGGTTACGGTGGAGAGCTGCTTTTTGGAGGAATTGTAGGTTACAGAAATTGGAAAGCATGTGTCACTACCAGCTTGTCAACATGAGCTAGGACACGTCTCAAAAATAATCATGTTCTTGTGTGGAAACATACAAAATAAATTAATTAGAAAATAATAATTCCCTACTATTTATAGCTCCATGCTTTTTTCCTTATGGACTCTTCTTGCATGCATATGTATATACATATATTGCACAGTATATATCCATAGCTGACTATATAATGCATTCAGCCATATTAAATAAATCCTACAAAGGAGATTCAAAGGATATTCCTTGATTTTGTTAGAACAAGAACCATCAGTCTACTTGTACAGAAGTCATAAGCTTGTTATATACATCTGCCTGGAAACTGTTTGAAGTTCTGAACTTTTTTGGCACATCCGCTGTAAATGTGTGACAGTGCTTCTCAATACCAACTGTGTTACAGCTCCATAAACAATAAACACAGGAAATGGTTCTGTCGCTACCTCCACATCAACGTTAGGAGAACTTTCTCTTGGATCGTAATCGTACAGCGCCACCATCCTTCTCGTAGACACAGAATGCTGTCTGCCACTCCGCCTGTTTCTTTCTGTTCCAGTCACAAGGAGAGGAAGGGAAGGAAAGCTATCAAAGTTATTTTGAAAAGAAAAACAAGGTGCAACTTTTCCCCACATCATTTTCACAACAGCGCAGTAACAATGTTGGTATTTCTCTAGCACAGTGATAAAAGGGCACGGATTATCAAACCTATTAACACAGATAAAGGTTTTAAAACAGCACGTACTTTTCATAAATAATTTTTTAACAGTTTCTTTATTCTAAGCCACTGAATCCTCTGAACAACATTGTCTGCAAAACTAATGTTCTGAAATTTTCAGCCTTTCTTGATTGTAAGAGTCAGATGTTACCAGGGTATACAAAGGCAAACAGTCAAAATTCATGTTTGTTTCATTTTATTCAAGCTTCCACATTTACTGTCTGTTCCCTTCCCTCCTCCTAATCACAAGGAATTTTGTGCCTGGGATTACTCTTCAACTTTCTGCTGGGAAACTGGAAAGAGAAACGGACACTCTCAGCTGTCCCAAGACAAAAGTGGCCACCCATTTTGCAAGCAGCTTGCAATATTTTCAAGACTTAACTACAAAACCACCTTCCAAAGCACCGTTTAATTTTACAACTTTCCTTTGTGGGGAACAGAAGGAAAGGAGTAAAATATGTAGTTTCCAGGAACCACACGAAATGCTTACTGACTGATATTAAACATTTACAGAGAAGTCCGAAAGGGGCTTCATTCTAAATTTGAATGCTAGCAGCATGGTTCTTGCGGATGACTGCTGTAGCAAGAGAAACATGCTTGTTAGTGCTACTTACGGACAGGCATTGAGGGCAGGTCTGATGGCGTTAGGCAGTGTGACAAAGGAAACCTGGGGCTGAGAGGCACCTACAGCTGTCCCTAAGGAGGGGGAACACTAAGGGTCCGGCTAACGCAGGAGCAGACACGGAGTGTGGCACCTGCTCCCTCCCAGCTGTGATGTCGCCCACCGGCCGGCACGGGAGTGCTCACTCCCAGGACGTCGCTCCCGCTCGCAGGGGGTGGGTGGTTTGGCATTATTTTCCCAGCTACCAGTGCAAGGGAATTGCACAGAACACAAGGAGAGATCCAAAAGGAAGACACGGGCTGTAACAGACGTGGGACCTGATCCCCCTGATTCCCCAAAGCCTGGACAGACTGACACCGAAACAACTGTCTCAGAGTCGCACTTTCTGCTCTGAAGTACTTCTCTGGGGCAAGACACTGCTCAGGGCCAAGGGCCCCTCTACGACCAAGGGAAGAATCCAGAAAGGACCCTGTATGTAAGGGCTATGTGACAATATTTTCCAACTTCTGGTTTCCAAAGTTCAAAGGCATAAAAAAAATTAAAAAAAATAAATCTAGACAGCTCAAATCATTTCAGCTAATTTACAGCTTGAATCAAATTATTGGTTCTTAGCACAGACCTCTTTTAGACTTTCTGGATCTGCGGTGTACAGAGCGTGTGCTCTCTTTGAAACGGTCACAGTTGACTTCAGGAAAGGAATGCATACAAATAAAAGAAGAAAAGATATGAAGCTTTTCAAAGTTCTGTTTTTAAGGATTTAATGTGGGCAAAGGATTAAGAAAAATATAGTCATATGAACACAGCATGTAAAGTGTCTGATATGACATTAAAATTATGAGTTACAATACGAGACAGACTGGCAATTAGAGCCTGTTTCCGCTAAAAATCCACGTGGGCAGCCTCTGTGACAGCGAGGGTCTGAGCACGTGGATCTCTGCTATTCAGAATTTAAAATTAAGCCAAACTAACTATTCTTTCCAAATCCTTTAGTAAGAGCGTTTGTTGTTTTTTTGTTTTTTAAATGGCTAACAATTTAAATCCATATTAAAGAGAAAATACATGATGCTTTTAAAGTGCTAAAATATTTAAAGGTGAACTGCTAGGGGTAGGTTGCTAACAGCTTGCTCAGAAACATCCCAGGATAAAAAGAATTGCTTCAACAGGTAAGGCAGGGCAACGTTTCTGTCGCAAATTGCCTCTCTCTCTTTCCAAGATAAAGGCTTTCTGATTTCTCAGCTATTTCAGGAGACACTGCCAGTTGAGCACAACAAAAAAATCCAATTATATTTGCAAAATATGACTGCGAGACAGCCAAAGTATTCAAATTGTGGGGAGTTAATGTAGATTAGTGGTTTCATTTTCACAAGTGTTCTGTATCCACAGCTGGCTGACTTTGGTACGAACTGAGAGCGCTGAGCAGGACTTGAAGCAGTAAGTTTCAACGGTAGCTGTTCACAAAGATGTTTTCTGTACCCACATGTGACCTCACTGCTAGAAGCACAAATACATTTAGACACTTCTTAATCCCTTCAGGCCCCCAGTTGTGTTTACAGATGTACCTAGAGTAGGTCAGGTATCTCATTCTACTTCAGCTGACGCAGTCCCGTGCTAAGACAACTCCTTGTGCAGAATAATGCTGTGGGCAGCCAACCTACTCAGGCACATCTGTAGGTCCCACCGTGTGCCTGTCCCAGGTGTCTGTCCGTACACGTAGGTGTATGCACTATACCTAGAGGAGCAGATGGGCGGGGGGGTTTACAAGTGCATGTGGGTGGGAGGATTCGTTGCATTTATGTGGCATAAGTAAATAAACACACAGATTTGAATTAAGAACTCAATTAAGCATTTAAGAACTTAATTAATCTTTCCCTTTCATGGACAATGGAGAATTTAAAAATATCTCAATATCTTAAAAGAAGAACAAAAAATAATTTGTCTCACATTTACTAATAAAATTTTGGAAACGATAAGGTTTTATTCAATCTAAGAAAACAATTGTAGAAGATTTGGTTTTTTTAGCAACCACTTTTACAGTTCACTTTTAAACAGGACTGAACCAATTCCAGCCCTTTATACTCTCTGAATCACGTTGAAAATTTTAAAACATATTGAGATAGTTGCATGAGATTTTCAGAAAGAAATCTAAGTTACTTGTGTTGTGTATCTGTGTACAACACTGAACCAGTGATGTAACACGAGTGGTTCATAACACAGAATTGTTCGGACAAACTTTGCTTTTTAAAGGGTTTGTTAATATAATATCCATAAAAATCTCATCATATGTAGTGCTATCCCAAATACGATTACACATAACCCTTTGCCACCATCCCTTTAAATTATTGGTAAAGTAGGAAAATGTAGAAGAGTAAAAATAACAACGAGTGATTTTTTTATGCTTTGCAGCAGTGAGCATATCACAAAGCACCTCAGCACAGCACACTCCAAAGCACAGGGATCATGTTCTGTGTCTAGAAATCTTTCAGGTGACAAACCCCGTTGTTTTGTTTTGTTTTTTTTTTTACATAAGAAGGGAAAGTATGAGTGGTGTAGTGAAGATACACGTCCTCATTTGAAGCAAAAGATGTGACCAATATTAAATATTGAGTAAAGTCATCCAAATACTGACACAGAATGTATCCCATGGTGTAGTAAACTGCTGTAAAGTTTAGATGCGTCTGCATATAGTAAAAACAAAAGGCAAAGCGGATCCAGCCAAGTTAATAGCACCCAAAAGTTAGGAGAAGTGGAGCATATATATTTTCCCTTACCAATTTTCTCAACTGGTGTGTTCAAAGGAAGAAAGCCTTGTTTTAGAAGCTGATCCATCATCTCTTCATCATCTGCTTGGATCTCAGAAACCATATTACATGGGATAAGGCCAATTCTTGTACAGGTTTCTCCACGATAGAATCCATCCGCATCTTTGTCCCCATAAACCTGTTATTCAAAGAGGGATAATGTTGGTCAATAAAGGTTTTAGCATTTAGGAATTTTAAAGCAGGCCAAATTGTTACTAAAGCACAGACAGATGACTACAGTTTGGATGGGGAATTATATTAGTTTTTGACTGACTTATGTTACAAAACTGGAATTGTTATGTTAATTTGAATTAAGACTTCAGATACATGGATTTGTTAGCAGTGAAATGCAGAAAAAGTGAGACACACCATTAGAGGTCATCAGTTTCTCCCTGTGCTGAACCAAAAGTGTACTTACAGGTTTACACTGATGTTTATGGAATTATTCACATGGCACTTCAAAATGAAGCATGTGCAAAACTGTGCCCAAGGGGTGCTATTTTGAATAGAGCAACTTGTGCATGATCAAAAATGCCTAACTAATACTTAATGTACTTGATATATGTACTTAAGCTCTGCTACTGTCTTTCCAGAAAACCTGAATTAAGGTATGAAAGTAGCATGAATTTTCATCAATGAGAACAGGTAAATCTCTTAAATGCAGTCAATTCATAAAGGCTACTAATGACACAAAGGCCTAGATCAAGGCCTGTACTAAACAAAAATGATGTTCTTAAAGCCTAACTGATGACTTGAGTTTACACTGTTCCTTGTTTAGGCTCAATCGTTTTTCTTTTCTTTAAAAACAAACAAAACCCCCCAAACCAATCCCATCAATTCAAACCCAAGTTCATTAAAACTGGCCGTTGAACTGCCCCAACATTCTACAGCAGGAAGGTTTTTCACTTTTAACCACTATATATCCCTGACTTACCTGGCACCACTACCACTTCACACAGTACAGCACACGTGACTGTAATACACATATGGGACAGGCTTCATACAGCTCATGGCAGAACTGAGCCTCCACCATCCCACTGCTCAGGTAATGTATGAAAAGTATTTTGAAAATGCAAACTAATCCATCTCCAAAACAATTTGGTAAGAAACTCAAAAGCAGCAGCTCACATAGTAATCACCATGGTCCCAAATACAAAAGAAACATCACTGAGAGTAAATATCTGATGTGGGATCTCTCTAGACTTCTCAGTGACAAACATGTCCATATTGTGAAGAAATAATTAAAATACCCGAGTGAAATGAACATTCTGACAAAGAAAAGTAAGCTCTTAAGTTCTGTATTTTTGGCATAAATCTTATCTCATGTAAGGAGGTAAGCAAAATATCTAACACAGTACTTAACATAAAAAAAAAAAATTGTGATTTAGGATATGGACATTTGTGTTAGGATCCAATCCAACAGTGGAAGGCAACCAGTATTTTAACAGCCTAAGTTACAATTTTACCTTTGAAAAGGGTAGTGTAACAAATGAGTCCATATTTTTTCTGTTTCAGGTTCTGTTTCAGATCACACTTAAATCTGTTACCCTCGGACTACCAGCAGCTGTTCCTTCTGCCTCTCTCACTTCTGCCCATTTTGCATCAGATCGATTAGATACAAGGTCACTGGAGGAGCTGCTTACATTTGCTGATGCAGCAGAAAAATCTGGTAGCTTTTTAAAATCAGATCAGCAGACTGAACAAATTTGCCTTGCAGCTGCAGTCCTGAGATGAGGCGAGCTGGGGTACAGGGCTGGCTAAAAACATCGACAGAGCCCAACACCTGGAACGGGGACGATTTTGTCTTCTGTGCCTTGCTTACACCAAGCAGTCAGAAAAGGGAATGGTTTTCCTGGTTGCAGAAGAGGATGACTCAAGAAGAGAAATACCTAACTTGTGGGCTTTAACTGATCTGAAGTGTCTACTAGCAAGGAGCGTTCAGCATTTAAAATAATACAGCAGCTCTGGTAGGTACAAAGGTACAACACTAAGCACTTCTGTGGTACCTCTGCAGCAAAGACACCCCCTCTGAAGCAGTTTTTTCCTGTAGGGTTTGTGGCAATGGACATAGGAGGCTTCAAAGTCATAACTTTGGTCTTGGCACCTAAATCTCTGAGTCTGCCCCTTGCTATCTATGGCAGCTTTGGGAGTTTTGCCCATTACTTCATTATTTATAAGCCATTAGCACTAGATGTTAGGTTCCAGATCCAGTGAGATTTACAGCCTGAACCTCTGGAGGCAAAAAACCTTGGACGCCAGTCACACAAACTGCTTTATCCACAGAACAAAGGAGACCCTGTTTGTAAAACTGGGTCCTTTGTTTCCTTTGTTTTTAGATCCCACCTTAATGATCTGTCCTTCTTTAAAGGGCAGCTCTTCCTCTGCAGCATCAGGATTTGGGGACATTGTCAGCGGATCATAGTCAAAGAGTGCAACAAATATTCGAGTAGAAATATCTTCTGTGCCAGGATCTGTTTCTGATTCTTCATAAATATCTGGAGAAAGATGGTCATGACCACCATAGCCATCTATGGAAGTAAATTCAGAAAAGAACAATTCAGTAATTCAAGTTGGCCTCATCTTTCAGTTATTCCAGTTAATATTTGAAAAAAGTTTGGCATTTCAGTGGAAAAGACCCAGTAATTTAATGCATGTCCTATTAAGCTTGGTGGTTGGTTTGTTGGTTGTTTGTTTTTTTTTTTTTTTTAATTGGCAAGTTATTTTTTTAAAAAAAGAATATACAATCTGCATGCACTGAATGTGGTGCTGATCTACACCACGCTGACATTTACACATGGGAATAGAGCTCAGGTAATAAAGCAATTTTTGTTAGGTTTACTAGAGTTTGCCATAAATTAACAAAGCATGTCAAGAGTGACATAATGATCAGTCTGATAGGCTTCATCATTACTGCAAAAATAACCATGCTTTGGATCCACCTGTTTTCCAGCACAGCTGCTTCTGCTCTTCATGGACACAAGAAAGCCCATCCCAGCTGTGTTGACATACCATGTTTTAGGTACCAGGTTTAAAACATGGTTATAACCTCTTCTCTCCAGACAGGCAAGAAGAAATATATTTCAGCAGTGTGAGTTATGCCAGGGTTGGAATTACACTGCCTATGATTTTGTTTAAACACAATCAATAGTTAACAAAGTCAGCAGTGCCCCAAACCAACCCAAACACTAACATGACCCAGGACAAACGGTTAGCTATGACTGCACTGAACCATAAGATCATCCACAATTATCACAGCACTTGGCACTGCACTGAACTCTGTCCACTGCAGGGTACCAAATCAATTAGGATGTAAAAAATGAGAATTGAGGTTTTGTCTCATACATCTTTCAGACTTTTCAAATGACCTGGAGAACACGTTTAGTCCATGATTCAACAACATACCTACGGATGGACTTCAGTAAAACTGAATTAGAAAATTAGGCCAAAATGGTTACAATGAGTGTTCTGATCGATGGGTTTCAAAGGCTTTTGTTTTGAAAGAGCACGTGGCGGCGCTTTCCAAAATACAGGCTCTTTCAAGACATAGGAAACTGAAGTCCCCGAGGATAAAGCTCTCAAACTCACAAGCCATTTCTGAAAAACTTGGCTTATCGTGCAAGTCCCGCTAACTTCAGTGGGAGTCACGTACTTTTGTTCTTTGCTGACCCAAGACTTATCATCCAGTTTACAAGATCCTTCACAATGAATAAATTAAAAAGCAATGTTATGAATTATGATGAAAATGTAGTTCAACTATATCAAAATTTTCCCAAACAATTTTCATATTAATACAATTTTTACTGTAATCACCTCTTGCAAATTAAAGACTCCCATTTTTGGAAATAGTTTGAACATTCAATATGGAACATTTTAGATAAAATTCCTTTCTTTACCTCTACATCAGACGCATTTTATTCAACATTTGATATTATTAAACTACCAGAAAGAAGTTTCGGAGGATCACAGCTTTAAGGGAACAGCTACTAACTCCTGGGTCCAGAGCACAAGAAAGAATGTGAAAAGGGAAAAAATGCAGAACAGCAAAAGGGCAGGGAAAAATTCCAGCCAAGAAGCTTTAGGCAGGCACAAAGCACAGAAAGGAAGTGTGGGAGAAGGGCACATGTGGGACAGAAAGCAATGGGACACAAAGGATGGGATTCTTTGTTCTCCTCTCCTCCCACAGCCAGGTTGCAGTCATTCTGTGGTTCACACTTGGGCCCACCAGGCAATGTAAAACAGGTGGGCTAAGGGGTGTTTTGGCTTTTAAATTAAAAATACTGATTTTTGCATCTGACTCCAACTGCAGTTAATGGGGGTTAGGTGCTAACATGAATCACAGCCAAATGTATCTCTGTTAAATGCACTGGTCTGTAACCATCTGACTCAGAACAGTCACCTTTGCTTCAGTGAAACAGAAAGCAAATAACCTCTTGATCAGTTCTTTAGCTACTTACTCTTTCAAGAGGTATGTATGTATATCATACATATACACACACATCTAACTGTGTATGTAAAATCTTAAGCCTTTGGCTGCAGCCAGCCAGATTCCCAGCTGATGCAACCACAGTTGCACTGAATTCACTAGAGATACACCGATATCCACAAGCTGATGATCTGGTTGTAAGTCAGTCAGATATGTTTGTTTGAAATTAAATATTAAATTACAATTTACCTAAACTTTCAGGGCCCCTTTGGTTTTATTTCGGATTATCAACAAAACCTTACTGTGTTTCTTAGCTCTATATATGGCCTGGGCTGTTTTTATGTTAGACACTTCAATTTACTGTGTTATGAACTATGAAAACTGAGTTGTTGACCATGTAATGATTTCTATGTTGATGAAGCAATAAATACTATCAGTAGTGGGTATAACTGCCTTACTCACGTGATACGAGTTTGTCAGTCTGATGTAATTACTCCTGAAAATAGTTTTTGTCTTCAGCTGTGACACAGCCAAAGTCCTGTGTGGTCACTGAAAAGACCCCAAATCTCTGCTTAGCCCAAGCTGTAAATCAGAATAACATCTGGTAACTGCTTCCTATTCTAGGACGTTGGGCCGTGACATTCCAGCTGCTGTTTGTCCCCTTCCAGTCTATATGAATCAAGTGGAAATGTGGTCACTTTGACAAATGGTTGTTCAGGTGTGTACAGTAAGTACTGACTGGCAGTAGTAGCAGCATAGCTTCACAGAGGTTCATGCAATGCAGCGTGCTCGGCGTCAGTCGAGTATGGCAAGGTGGCTGCACAGCACTTTCAGGACAGAGGACTAAGGGCTGTTTGTCCCTTAGAGCTGAGCTGGAGAAACTTACCTGGGAGCAGACGGGATCTAAGAGCTAGTTCCCCTGGCATTCTGCATCGCATGCAAGGTTGTCACACAGAAACCACACCTGTTAACACGCAGCTCTAAAATGTGTCTGTCAGAAAGGATGAAGAATGTTCGGCATACCGTATCTATATTCAGAGGCCATGGTACGCTGCTGGGGCCATTTCTTGTGTCCACCAATGCTGCGATAATAAGCTTCTTCTTTTACAGGTGAAATATTTCCCTCACTACCTGACCGAGACCGACCGCCTTCACTGTTACTGTCCATTGTAATTTCTATGGAGAAAAAGGGAATGATCTATTAAAACATATTGTATAGTTGCCTTTGCGGAGGCTCCTGTGGGCAGGCTTTGCCTACCTTTTTTCTGACTTGCATATAGTAGGAAGGCTAAACACTGCATAAGCTTTGCCAGATGTCTCAGCCTCTAGAAAATCCTTCCTTCAGCAGGGGAATCACAGAAATGTTTATCTCCTTTCTTTTTTTTTTTTTTTTTAAAGCATCTGAATTTTGTGCTTTTAAAAATTCACACAGTGTAAATACTGTTTGTTAGGTCTTTGGATAGGAATCATCTTTTATTATGAGGTTTAAACAATCCTACCTGCCAGATCTGCAAGGTCAAGAGCACTGTAAACTGTGTTTCACCTTCTAAAGTATCAACCTAAAAACAAAAATTAATTCATTTACTTAAATCCTACCTGCAAGAAGATACTAATCCAAAATATTTATAGCTTAATGGAGAAAATACCTCAAAGAATTTAAATTCTGGAACATTTTGGAGAAAGGTTTTACCACTGGAATCCTAAGAACCTTACAGTTTTGAAGGTTTTTCCCACTAATTTAACCTCCCAGAGCTGCCCTAGGACCTTTCCATCATTTTTATTCTATCCTGCTTTTCACTTTGTGGAACTACATGTAATAATGACACAGCTATAACAACTTCCTGCTTCAAAAACCGTACTTGTGACTCTTACTCATGGGAAACTTCCTCTGTCTGTGGGAGTTCTGAACAGCGGGTTCAAGTTTACACAATGCTCTACTATATGTTTTTGTATACCCTACTTTTACCGCATTTTATTTATCTGAACTCTTGATACAGTTCATACCTTCTAGATTTTTTTTTCCCAGCAGGCTTCCAGGAAGCCACTTTTCTCAAAGCAGAGTTTTCTCAAGTGTTTAAATTTGCTTCACTTATCCTCAAAGTGATTTATTGCAGCATGATGCTGAAAGCGAGAAACATTGCATACGTATCTTTCAGCAATTTTAATCATTAGTCTTTTAGTCATAAATTAAGACTCTTGAACTCTAAACCACATAAGGCCTTTCAACAGCTTCACAGCAAATCATTTTTTTAGTTAGACACTGTACATAATGCTCAGTAGTTTGCTTGTTACCAGCATTAGACAATATTATAATTTATTCCTAATGGAACCTCCCCAAAGAGTATCTGTGGCTTGTACATAATGCAAAATACACTAATTCATTCTTTAAGTTGCACTGAAAGAAATAAAATCTCAGATTTTATTTTCTATTTGAACACAGATTGACTATCAGAAATTGATTTCTTTATCTGATTTCTAAGCTGTTGCTATTGAACTACTAAACAGTGAGGTCATTATGTAGCAGTTTCCATGTCCTAACTTTGTTGACAGAAAGTGAGCTCTGATAAATTTAATCACTTGCCTTATTTTTTAATTAAAATGAAAATTAAAAGGAAACTCGAAAGATGAATTCAAACAAACCTGTCTACTCTCTTGATATTCATAAAAAAATGTTTTAGCAGATAATATAGAAGAAAGAACTTAGATATACAAAACTTGCTTTAAGTAGTCCGAACAAATGAGAAATCTGTTACTCCTGAGAAAAAAAGGCTGCTATCAGAGAAAAAGGGAAAGGACATGAAAATCTAACAGTCTTCACACCACCATCCAAAAGCTATTTGGTTCAGCTAACAACCTGTCAACAGAAGCAGAAGGGCCTCCCTGGAGCTGATTCTCCCCCATACTATTCTCATGCCAGTGTAATCCCATTGACACCTGCGAAGATTATCCTGGTTTACACCAGGATGTGGGACAAGAATCAGCCTCTGACCAGTCATGCTATATTGAAGACTCTAAGATTAAAGTTTCATGCATTACAGCTGTGTGTGCTTTCTGATGTATGGTTTCAATAATTAATAATAATAATTATCTACTAGATATCCAAATAACTGTGCCCACTAGGGGGATGTCACTTTTAATTCACAGTACAGGCATTTGAGTGTGAGTCTATGAAAAGGGAAAAATTTTGAATATTTAAAAATAAAAGCATTTCTTAACGACCAGTCTCTTTCTTTCTGATAATCCCCATTTGTTACATCTCTTGCTGACATAAATGTCAGGTGAGAATTCCCTGACGCTGCTTCCTTCTCCTCCTCAATCCTACAGTATTCACAAATTCAAGTCCAGGTTAGGGACAGGCACTGGCCCGACTTCACATCTACATGGAGTAAAGTTCTGCTAATAGCTCACAGAACTCTTCCTGCATTTGTTTTGCATGCGTTTCCTGATTTTCAGTGTGAATGTTTCTTACGTGTCAGTATAAAGTGCAAGATTTAACAGATACGTATTTGTCCATAGTGTCTTGTTTCCATTATCTTTTCTGCACTACTTTTTGGATTTTCTGGTATACATCAACATATAATTTAAGTCATAAGTAAACCAGAATAGGGATGATTCTGTAAGTCTAGTAAATGTATGCAAGTTCTACTAACTTGTTACATTTGACAGCTTCCATTTTTCCTGCTAAATTCCAAAAAGTAGTCAAGAAAATGGAAAGTGAATGCAAAATGATGGTTGATGAATGGAAAGATGGATAGCTGAATGGATGGCTGAATGGTTACATTTATTTTATTGATCATATAGTAGCCTGCCTCAAAATTTGTTCTTAAGTAAGATCTAACAGTATCTAAGCTTAACCAAGGTTAGAAAAGCTCCAATACCCACTAAATTCAATGAAAAGTCTCCCAGTGATGTCAATGACCACTGATTTGGCCCACTCTGAGACCCCAGTACCCTCAGATGGAGATGGTCTTAGATCCATTTCATCCCCTTTAAACTAAGAGTAACCATAGTTCAAGACAAGTGCCTGTAGTTGCTTTTTTAAGGACCGCCTTCCCAACTCTGAGGCTGCAAAGAACAGAAATGCACCAATCTGTCCAACTAACCAATGGAAGGGACCAACATTGGTCGAGACCTTTGTGGCACTGCACTGCCATGAGAGGACCTTCGCCCTGCATGCTCCACCCTTTCAGGCCGTCCTGCAGATGATGGATTACCTAAAAGCTAAAAAAACAACAACAGAAAAAACAGGTTTGTAAGTTACATGCATGGTAACATTATGGTTATATGGTTGGACATTAATCAGGTCAATCACATTTGGAAGCATAAGCTCTAAAGGCAACTAAACTTAGTTTTTAACTGAAAGGTTAGCTGAAAAGTAAATACTGTTGCCTGGAAAACCTGCAAAAGAAAAAAATGGTTCCCTGATTTATGGCAGAGTTTTGTAACTAGCAGTCACATATCAGAACAAAAAGAAAAGAAAAGAATAATTTTTGAAATATTCTTTTGCCTTTGTTGTTGCTGCTAAGATGATGTTCTAATCTCCTGAAGAGTTGTGTAACCAGTCATGAGACCTGTGGAGACTGGCCTGCACTGAAAAGACAAGGTTTTTTGTATGCAGCTATATAGCTTTGCCCAGTTTGCAGCATGTGAACAAGTGTACGTCCTTCTGTCTTTGAGCACACTGCCTTCTGTAAGTGGCCTTCGGTTGTTACAGCCTTTTACAGGTCATTGAAACATGTAGAAGGAAATGTAGACACACTTCATCTCACATCACAGCTGTCTCCTCCTGTTCACTGCCCTTGCAGAAAATGTTGCTATTTTAATAACTAAATGGTACTACTTTAAAGCTCTCCAGAGTTTATCATGCAGTCATTGAGATCAATATAGCTTGGGCACCAATTTTAACGGAACAAATTTTGAAGGATCATTTCAGCATAAACTGCTAGGCTAGAAGAGCAGGCAGCAGATTTCTACTCTTACATGAAATGCATTACATCTGAGGTTTCCACTCTGGACTGTTGTAGACTGAGAGGGTAAAGAATTTGCTTTGGCCTTTAGGGAGCAGGGAAGCCTACGGATGCATCTATCAAAGCGTGGAGACTCTGCTATAGATTGATGGACAGAGATGCAAATAGGCAAGATCACGCGCAGAGGCATCCTTGAAAGTTATGGAATGGCCCTGGCCTCTCCCTTTGGAAGAAGCTGTTTGCCTGCATTCTCACGCAGAGATGCAGTCTGCAACTTCAAAGGCAAGAAGAGATGGTCTAAAAAGGAAGGCAAAGTAGTGACAGTGCAGAGGTAAGGTAGAAAATGGAAATATGATGAAACCTGTGACTCCATAAATGTGGGTCACTGTCACACTGAGGGAGAATCTTGATTCTTGTCCGGAGATGTTTAATGATAAAGAGCATATCCTGAAAATTCTGGAAATGAGGTGAATAAAAACAACATGATGAAATGAATTTCTTGACATTAAAAACAAAAAAATTACCGATGAAATATTTTTCCAGTTAAAATGCAGCTTTTTTTTTTTTTTTTTTTTTTTTAAAGCAACATTTAGATGGGCAAAATAAAGAAAAACAATCTTTTGGAAAAATTATAGTTCAGCTAACCCTTAATTAAAATTTAGATTCAGTTGTCCTTTAATAAAAGCAGCCATTATTGTAATTTGTTCTGTGGGAAAATCATTGTAAAGCAAATTAAACTGATTTCAGCATGACACAAAAAAGGACTGTAAACGAAAATGCAGAATAATAATAAAAAAAAAAATGAATGGGAAGAAAAAGAAAAAGGAAAAATGTAGCAGATAGGTCCAAAGGATGGACTCTAAAAATTAATTTTGAAAAAAAAAAAAAAAAAGAACAAAAGAAAGAAAACAGACTGATTCGGCAAGCAGATGTTAGAAGGAAGATTTATTTCACACACCAGAGAGTCTTCTGCATCTCTGTGGGATGGCTTTGCAAGTAGACCAGCTGCCCTAGAGTCAGCCATTTTTAAGTCGGTCTTCCAGCCTCCCTGAACATCTTCATTAGACAAATTATCTGTTCTATTACATTTCTGAGTCTCATACTTTTTCTCGTAACTGGGCTTGACCTGTTCACTCCTGGGCTCTACATAGGAAGGACCCAGGTCACCAAAATCTTCTTCAATGCTGGTTTGTCTGGTTAAAGTTTTCCTGCGAGCAAGCAATGGCCTCATGCTTTTCCTGCAGGAACAGTTAGCAGTCTCTGCGCAACAGCTAGAGGCAACGTTGGCAGAAACTGAATCACAAGTGTATCTGAAATTAAAACGAGATTCTTCTTCTTCACTTCCACAGTCTAGTCCACTGTCTGGGCTTCTCGATAGGGATCGGCTATATTTACATCCTTTGTCGTCTGCAGCAAAATCCTCCATGCCTGAAATTCTGTGCTTGGCTGGGTACCAGAAGTTGTGCTGCTGGTCTTGATTGTAGGGCCTAGGTGGTCTAGAGTCTCTAGCTATTGTGGGATTCTTTTTATAGGGCATACCTAAACCCTGCTTGTACAGCAGTTCAGAGTATTCACCATCCTCTTCAGCTACTTCTGGAATACTGAAAAGCTTTTTACTGTGATGTATCTGCTGTGAAAAGTCAGGCTGTTCCAAAAAAGTGGCTTCAGTGGTCTTATTCTTATTGCACTCCTTAAGATTATGTAATGTTAAAAACCAGACAGGGAACAAATAGTGTGTGACAAAAATAAAATGGGAGGGAAAAAGGGAGAAGAAAAGAAAAATAAAGACAGAATTAGTTTTAGAGTAATGGCAAACATAAGACATGCAGCTTATTTAGTGAAACGGATGTCATGCTTTGAATGAGAATCCATAAAAAATAAAGACATGATTAAGAAGTTGCTGGGTGTCAGATGACAACATGAGAGGTCAGTACAAACAACTGAGTGATGCTCTTAACAAGAATAAACCCATGCGTTCAAAACAAAGCAACAGAAGCTGCATACAGGTTCCAGCATGGTGAATAAGAATGGCATTAAAACACAGCACTAATGCTTAGTATGTTCCTTGCCCCATGCCAAATTGCTATTTCATTTTTGTTTGTAACCAGAACCCATATCTGAGAATGAAAATTCTATTCTAGCAAGCTTTCCTGCTTTTCAACTGTTAAAGCATCCTATATGAGTAGCAAATACTCCTAAACCTTCTGCCAGGGGAGAGCTATTCTGCAGACATCATTAAAGGATTTCTAGTTTTCTTTGTAAAATTTTAAAAAAACTGCACCACTTTTAAAGCTCGGCTTCCACAGAGAGAACCCCGAGAAGCAGGCTGCTCTCTGATGGCACTTGGTTTGCACTCTCATCATAATCTCGTACCTGCTTGATAAAAATCAATATTTGAAAATCAGCCTATTAGCAGAAATAAGTGAAAGTCTGTTTATACCAGAAGTAGGTAAAAGCTATCCCAGACTGGATAAAATAAGCATGCTGAACATGAGCGATACATTCTGAAATTTTTCTATTACGTTTACACAAAACATAGGCTGGCGTGACAGACGAAACCTATGCAGTACCTTTGCTGGACTCTGAGAAGACAAGAGAATAATGATGCAGGAGGTGTTGGTTTTGACTGGCAGGGTTTATAAATTCTACACCATGGAGATCATCTCTCCTCGCACTTTACTCAATGCCCAGATCAGGTAGGTCTCTGGACACAACAGCACCCACAAATAATGACTGGGTCATCTCAGAGAATCCAGTAATAGTGCTCTCTGAGCATGCTAAACCTCACTGGGTTCTGGGTGTCTTCTCCTTTCTGGCATTAGGAACTTTCTAAGTTACTTTATGACTACAGTTGTTTCACCTATTTTCATTCATTTTGAAGATGTGTTATCACACTTGTGAGACTTCTGAGACAAACTGCCATAAAAGTCCATAAACACGAACAAGGATAGTTTTGTGATTGGAGTTCAAATATCCCACATTTTAGAACGTTCAGATCAGGTAAGTGAGTTGAATCTTCCCTTGATCACCCATATCAAGCCTTTGTTTTAGGGAACCGTTGGAGGGAATAACAATCTCCCAATAAAACAAATATATCTCTGCATGCAAAATGTTTTCTTGTTACTTAGGGGCATCTATTAACTTGGGAGAGAATACTCAATTACAGCTCCAAGGGCATGGCTGGAATACTTTCAGATGCAAGAGGAACAGGAAACTCATTACATTATGGAAAATTCAGTAAACATATTTTTTCATTTTTTAGTTAATTGATGTTGCAAAGTGAAACTGGATCTAGTGAAAGACAGGGAAATTATAGAGCACAACCTGACCTGCATTTTATATCCAAAACTTATCAGCATGGCGGGCCATATTCTCCAGATGATACTCAGACATCCATGAGACCTTCCCCAGGAAGTATTCCTGCACTGAATTCCACTTCTGCTGTACCCTTCATATATTCACACCAAGAGAAGTATGCCTGCAGACTTTACCTGATCTAAAATCATTTACTACACCAGTTAAGGGTCTGGACCTTTCTTCTTAAACATCAGCACTGGCAATACTAGTTTAAATCAAGAAGTAAATATACTTTCTGATGCATAAAGAACAAGAACAGTCTAGGGATAATTCACTTTTTTCCCCAGAGGAAAGGGACAGAAGCAGCATGCAGAAGCATTTCAGTTTCAACATTTATGTTAGCAGAATAATAGAAACACTGATTATTTTTTGTTTTGAAAAAGTACCTGTCTATTCCAGATGGTATCAAAGTAAAAGGACTGGATTTATAATACATGAAAGCAGTTACAAGAATGGTCAAAATTCTTGTATGCATGCGAAAACAGTATTGGTTTTAGTTAAATAACAGCATATTGGAAGAAAAATCAACCTGTGGATTTCCCTCTCATTCAAGTTATGCAACTTTCTGAGAAAACACAATTTAGCATAATTTCTAGACACATAAAAAGCAAATAAAATTTACATGTACAAATATACCATGGGAAATATATATTTCGTATTGGGTGGGTTCAACATTCTACGTATGCTTTAATTGTTATACTGAAGTTGTCTTCCATGATGAATATTCCTGTCCAGTGTTAAAGCAGTATTTCTGATGGGTATTTCCTACTGTCTCCGGTGATTCCATAACAATCAGAGCTTGTTTTGGAATCTGGAATCCACAATCCACAAACAATGAGGATTTCAGTAATGCATCTATCAAATACAGCTGACCCGACTCCCTTTCTTATGAGCACACTTCAAAGCCTGTGGAAGAGGTGAGACTAGCACTGGAAACAGGGACAAATTACTCAGACATGAAAAACCCAAGGGTTGTTTTTTTTTTTTTTTTTCTGTATGTATGTATGTTTATATAAATCTCCCTGCTCAGAAACAACTTACTGTCTGGGTAGCACATGCAGTGTATTGTTGTGTAGACATGGGAAAGGTCCCCAGATACAGAAAAGAAACTGCAACTTCAACAATTACATATAGGAAATTAGTCAGTTAGTTAAAAGATTAGCTATCAAATAATGAAAAAAAAAAAAGGTAATAAATGTATTTAAAGTGGCCTTGACATCATAAACAGTGTTCACCTCAGTTCTAGGTCTATACAACAGTGTGAGTTTTAATGGTCTGCAAAATCCACAACTGACTCCAAGAAATGCTTTGAAGAAAGAATCAAAATATGGAGGTACACCTAAGGTTTCTGTGCAGTCACACTTACCTTAAGTGCATTGTGTGAAGTCACACTGACTCGTCGCCTTCCTCCATCCTCCAGCTGCATTTCGGAGTACAGCTCTTCCTCATCTTCTTCCATAATATCAGACAAGTCAGAACCTCTGCTGCTCTCTGTGTGGTACTCTTCACCATGGCAATAGTGAGGCTAATTGACAGCGTGAGAGAGAAGAATCTTTACTGACTGTAAAGCTGAAAATCCTTGTGTAACACCAGTGAGGGCTAGAGCATCTCCTAGGTTTGAATATCACACTAAAAACCACATGAAAATTAAATCATGTGCCTTGCTGCTCTCCTCTAGTGCAGAGATCACGTATACATATTTTTGTCCATCTATGCTCCCAAGTAAAGAAATCCAATTTTAATCCCATAGATGGTACAAAAAAGGATGTCTGCATTCACAGCACCAAATCTAGTTTGAGTCTTGATTAAATTCTCTTGATTTAAAAAGGTCCTTCATGCATCAGTGGACTTGCTGACCAAATTGTAAAAGCCCTAGGATAATTCACATATCATCTGTTCTTCACAGCTGTTTGTTACATCACATTGTAATTTAAAAGTGATCAGCATTTAATTCTTGCAGGATGTTACCATCATTGTATGATATAGCTAGCTGATGGAATTTGAAGCTTTCATTCTCTTAAACATTGTAGGAAGAGACTGGCTAAAACCTAATTGTCTTTTAAAATGAGTCCAAATATTTCAAGTTCAGTTTCCAATTAGTTGGAAGATAAGGAGGAAAAAGTATGTCCTACTGAGTTGCTAATGTTAAATAGAAGTGGCTTCTGTTAAACATTACATCTAACAAATCAGATCATAAACAAAACTTATTGTATTTCCAAGGACAAATTTTCAAATGGAGTCATCTGACTGTCAGATTGCAGTAGAATATTTGAAGAATCACATATTCTAGAGGTACTAGGATGCTACAAATTACTGCATTCCTTACCCCAGCAATACAAAGGAAGAAATAATTTCTGTGGCACCAAATCAATTCCCACAGATGTAACACATTGATGAGAAGAAAATGTCTACAATAAGCAATTTCTCCAAGGTGACGATAGATGTGCCCTCAAAATACAAGAGAAAATTTCTCCTCTTTTAACTTTTTGTTCTGAGGCTAAAAAGATTGTAGGATGAAGCTTTTAGTAGTAATTCTTGGTGCCAAGCCCATAAATGTTTTCAGATCTTCAGTCACATTACGTTAGGATCATCTTAGAAAAAAAAGCCAGTGCAGTTTCCCAAAGTTTTTGGTTTCTTTTTGAAGTTAAAAGATCAGACTATATTCTCATGCTTCATTCTTCACATCTAAATTTTGTAGCTCTTATACTAAATTTTATTATTTCATCAGTTCCAGCAGAATCTTGGTCCTGTTTTTTATAGAAAAATCCCTGCTGCACTCCTGTTCTCTGATGTATTCAAACAGACCTGGGGGTTGCACGGACACAGTGCCACCTGCCCAGCTAAGAGCACAATGCCTTGTAGATTATCAAAGGCCAATGCTGCTGGAATAAAGCCCTCATTGTTTGGGCAAGCAGAGTACAGAGACCCAGCAAATTCTCTCCAAGGTTTATCCATTGTGCTTCTAACATCAGCAATGGCTTGCCAAACAGCCATTTAATTGTTTAAATATATCTTCTAATTCAAGCGCTACATGAAGCAAGGTATAAAACGTGACGAGGAGATATTATATAAGCAATAATTACACAATTCTGCTTGCAGTCAATTAACTCTGTATGTAATAGGGCAGGCATGCTCTATGTCCAGTAACTGGGTGCATTACATGTCCAGATTTCCAGTGGAACCTCTGTGGCCACATATTCCATGCACTTGTGATTACTATTTCACATATTTTCTAGCACTGCAAATGTCCCAAGTTCTCTCAGAATTTCACATCTATCTCTGATACTTACATCCCTTGTCCTTATTATCTATTCACAGAGCGAATCAACAGCTTGAAAAGTATCTTCATACTTTTTTAAAGAAAGAATCGTTATTTGCATTTTAGTCTGGGTTGACAGGCTCACTGACCCAGACCCTCAGAGGTAGCGAGATATTTAGATGCAGAAATACCTGTGAGGATCTGGGCAAGAAAGACTAACCTTCTAAGTTCACAAAGAAAGTCTGTGAGAGAGAGACGGACACTGCACCACTGTTTCAGAACTGTGATCCGTGCCAGCCTTCCCTGTGGGGCTTTTTAAAATGGAGAGTTTAAAAATCAATATATCTTCCTACAAAATACAATGCAACAGACCTGAAGGATTTCCATTAGTAGCCACATCTAATGCTGATAAAAAGGTTGATGAAAAAACTTTAATGTTACTTGCATTTGCTTGCAGTTTTTTTTACTCTCATCTATGGAGTAAGGCAAGTCAACTGATAGAAAGCCAAAGCCCTTTGATAGGGAATCACCATACAGAACAGCAGTTGTTTCTGGAAGACACCAGCAGCACATGAGCATTATAATGAAATTAGCAAACTAATAACTTCTTATGGAGAAAACCACCACAGATTAGGTTTCTCCAATTTTCCCCAATTATTTCTTCACTAACAAACCAAGCGGTAAAAGCGATCATCTTTCATAAACAATGCAAATGAGCAATTAAGCTACAAATATAGCTCTGAAGCTATAAACATTTAATAATCAATTTACACTTAACACACAGCAGCTGTTTTGACAGACATAATTTCACTGCTATTTCTCAAAGTGCATTTTTTGACATAGTGCTTTAAAGTGGTGAGGAATTCTTTTAACCTTACATGAAAACTAAACATGAAGCCTAGTAAGATCTGAGAATACTTGTAGCCAGAGAGATTTCAAATCTAGTTTTGAGGACGTTCCTAGTAGATAACAGAGCTTAATATTTTTAGGCTTTAAGGAATATAACTTTAAGGGTTCCCAGCCTTCCAGTGTTCACATACAAACCTTCTGTTTTGTAGAGTTTGTTAAAGCAAACACACTCCAAGCCTCCATTTAATAATCTGAGGTAGAAAGTCCACAACGGAGCAGCAACTTTGTACTCACATGGTAGATACCCCCGAGTTTATTTACCAAGGTTCAATATGAAGTACTGTTATCAGAAAAATGAAGTTGATCTTGGTTCCTTACAAACACTCTAAACTTTTTAGACTGAGCCTTCTTAATAAGATCACTGGTCCTCTTAGAAAATCTTGGCATTTTTATGTCCAGAATAATTTTAATTGTATACAGAGGTACGGATCCATCTCACCCACAAGCACATTTTGTAACCACAGCATGATTACATATATTCTAAAAATGGGAACTGCTGCATGTGAAGATGAAACCAAATCAAATTCTGAAGCCATATATTCAGAACACTGGAAATATGGAGCAATGTTTATACATTGGTAAATGCTTGAACTTCTGTAATAAATGTAACCAAAATTCCAGAAGGTTTCAAAAGTGGTACAAGAAGGAATGCCATTGCTTGGGCCCTTCAGCATGGGAGGCCAGATGGTTGGCTAACAAGATTATTTGACCATGCTAAGACATAACTAAAAACCTTTTTTGCTAGAATTTACATCTCTCTCGATAAGTAATGTAATAAATTACTTTATACTTGTTTTCACTGGGATCAAACTAAAAGCTGCACAGATGTGCAAAATTCTTCTGGCAACATCTTTCTATCCATCACAGCATGCCAAGTATATACGGTGTTGGTTTTCTGCTAATTAAGATTACAGGTTATGGCTTTTATGGAACACAAAATTCTTTCCCCCTTTCCCTTTTTTTCACGGCACATTTCCATACGCAGTAGTAACACATCATACAGAAAAAGCCCAGAGCCCAAACGTGACATTCCAGTCACATTTTCTATTTCAATTTTTTCAGCTTCAGGTTTTTCAGTTTCCAGTGCATGGGATAACGATCTATATCTAGATGCATGGTGTCAAGCATTCAGTTCCCATTAGACAGTGTTATGCTCCAGTAACAGGACATTTATTTACCTCCCCACAATTTAGCTGCTTGCCTGTGTAGCTTACCAACATGGCACAACAATCAGATGGTGACCTGGATAGTGTGCTGAGCTTCGTAAAATACCTGTTTCACGCCAGACACCTGACATGATAACAAGACCAGGCTACTTACTTGCTTTCCAAGTTCTGACCCTTTCAGGAAATCATCAACTGAAGCCCCCCTTCTTTTGACATTAGGAGAATCATAGCCGTCTTCCTCATCGTCTGAGTTAGCGTACTGGGCTGCGTTACTCCTTTCGCTAAAAATACTCCTCCTCTCCATCTAGCAAACAACAAAAAACGGAAAATTGAAGCAGACTTGTTCCTGCAACAAGTGGAAGAAGTGACAAAAATAAGACATAAAAACTCAAGAACACAACACTTAAGTATACTCATGGTTTAAAGCAATGTTAGTTTACTCTGATTGTATCCTTTTAGGAGTTTTCAAGAATTTTTTTGTCTGTTGTATTTCTCTCACTCATAAACAGTTGTATGCTTTTATGTGACCATCAACTCACCTGCTAGCTTTCTTCTCTGTACCACTTATGTCAAAATTCTCAGTATTCTACAGTCAGAGGCTGCTAACGAAGACAGGACCCAGCTGCAAGAGCATTTCTGACCTCAGTACAAGAAAAGCTATAGAATGAGACTTCATGCTCTTCCTCTGCTCTGAGGTGACTCTCATCCTTAGCTACTGATTCCTGCTGCTTACTCTCATGACAAAAACCATCAGCCATCTAACAGGCTGGATGAAGGGCAGGGAGAAGACACACAGCTTCTTCTGCAGCAGCCTACCGCAGGGAAGAACTTCTCCGACTGGGAACTAAACCTGACAAATATCATTGGCAGAATTTGATTTAATTTAGAGTGAATCCATCTGTAAACTTCTGTCCAGATTCTTGAATTAAACATTTCAAGCATCACTAAAAGTAATGTAATTAAACGTGATTGAGAGCATGTGTTATGTCAGCAATTTTCAAACCAAGAAAAAGTATTTCAGATCTCTTTCCTATATGGTCGTTAAATCAACTCTGACCTCAAAGTGAGAAAGAAACTATTTTGTCTTTTCTCCCTCTATTAAATTTATTCCAGTTTGCTTTGTTTATAAACAGAAGGAAGAAATACACGCATCATACATATGTATTTAGCAGACCTTATTGATCCAGAATTATTCAGCTTTCCAAAAGCTGTATCATCCCCCACTGTCTCAATTCTGTCCCCAAAGATGGACAGTCAGTAAGTTGGGGCTGTTAAGACATGTGTGAACTGTCAAAATTAATGGAGCTATCTTGGAGACACAATGGGAGACCAAAGACTGGACATAACAACTGATGGCTGCCAGCTGAAGGACTAAGAGAATGTACAAAAAAGTTACACCAGAGAGCTTGAAACAAGTAACGGACAGTTGTGAACAGCTTGTGATGAGAAAGTAACTACCCAGGGCACTGGGAGTATTTAAATATTGTATGCTTGGGTAGGAAAAACTGGATCATGTTGTCAGGATGCATATGCATCAGCTATGCTGACCCAAGAGCCTCAGATACAGGATTTAAATTAACTAGCAAACATCTCAGTGACTACAGCAGCCATGGGTCATAATGGTCTCCAAAAGGGAGTCTCCTTTGGGCAGCAATGCTTCTAGCAGCTACAAAAGGAGCTGTAATGAAAAGTTTTCACATGGCAGCTATGCTGAAGCACTTGTAAACATCTGTGAAGATGTAGCACAGTGAAGGAGGCACTGTTGAAGGGCAAATATGTAAAATTGGCTGTGAATTCACGACACCTTACAAAATAGCGCTTTACATGCATCTGAACAGCTATTTGTTATTTTGAAATAGCAGATGACTTTAGAATACAAGCATGTCTCTTATCTGACTGCTGGTTAGATTATAGAAATGAGACTTTCCTCTTTTTGTAAACCGCCAAAAAGATTAGCTCTCACAATAAGTCTGCTCAGGACTTCTGTCTATCTGCCTGTTTCCGCACTCATTGTTAAACTGCCCTTTATTGTTTTGCTCTCTTTCAAATATTCCATATTTGATTGACTTTTCTCACAGAGGCACAAGCTTCCCTTTTGATTTCTGCAGGATCCAAGCACAAACTTTGATGATTACTGGTTTTTATTCAGAAGTAAGGCTCTGCAGGTTTGGAGACAACATTTCTAGTGATATTATGGGGCTTCTATGCTGACCAAAGGCTGATCAATGCTCTTTTTGGTTACAAGCATGTTTGTGGAAGATGGCACAGAATTTTAGCACAATGATGCTCCTCAAACTACAGATCTTTAGGGTTTTGGAATGACTACTTGCTCCTTAAAGCATATGATGATAAAATTCTTTTATAGAAAGTGCCACAGTGAATAAAGCCAGCCCAAAAAAGACTTAAGAAAAGTTTGCCTTTACCCTATTGCTTTCTGCAACTCGTTGTGCAGCTTCTCTTGCCATGGCTTTTGCGACAGTATTTGGGACAGGTGTGCCTTGAGGTTGAGGGAGTATTCGGTTAGGCGATGGAGACCTCCTCCCCTGAAGCGGGCTGTGAAAGTTAGGAGCAGGTGGCTCAAGCATGTGTCCATGAACAGGGGATGCCGAACGAGTCTGCTCCCACGACTCATCCATTTTTAAATGTGGACCTAAATGTTCTTCTTTGGTTTCTGGGGCTCCGGCACTTGCTAATGGCTTAGATTTGGGAGCAGTTCTGGGGTGAGGGGTTGGAGGCACCAGTAGGTCAGATGGAATGGCAGCAACAGAAGAGTCCACTGATTCCCCTTGTGCAGAGAGTGTTCGAACAGTAACTTCCTTTGCTTCCAAACTCCTTAGTCTCATTAGTTCCACCAATGTGTTCTCTGCTGTTGGAAAGATCACCTCCGCCACCTGAGTACACAAACAAGCAACTTACTAGCATGAAGGCACCTGTTTCCCTCCCCTCAATCCCGCTACAGTACAACCTTCAACGTCTTAACATGGAGTAATCTACTGCCAACACAGCGTGTGCTGCAAGAGCCCCCATCAGGGCTCCACACCAGTTAGCACCAGTCGTCTTTAATCTTTTCAATCCATTTGTCCAAAAGCTTAATCGCTTATAGAAAGGAAGCTAATGAGCAAGTTATGCACAAACAAAATAGTAGGTTCTACTGAAAGCTGAGAAAGCCCTGCACACATTCAAGTGCTGTCACACGTTTATCTTTGCCTTTACCTGTCAGTTGAAATTCCCCTAACGTAGACGGTCACTGTAACGCTGGAAGGAGAACTCACCCGTTGACCTTTTGCATAAACACCATAGCCTGTGACATTGGCGCCATGGGAGGTCCCAGTTGCTGTCAGAGTTGGTGGCTTCCAGGACACCTGTATGGTTGCTGGGGTAGACCCAGCCCGTACAGTAACATCTTGGGGTGGAGCTGGAGGACCTAAGACAGACAAGACTGGTCACTGTTGAGCCTTAGATTAGAAGTATGTATGTCAGCTGATATACCTGCAAGTTGGAACTACAGATCTCAAAGCACCTTTCTTTTTTCTTTTTTAAGAAGGCAAAATATCCTTACTGCAGTTATTATATAAAAACAGAAGCACAGGCTCAGCAGGTCATGGAGCCAGACACTGACCTGCAGCTTACAGCCAGTAACTAAGCCATATTTCTTTGCGAGATGGTCTGTACTTGAAACTTGCTCTGAACCCTGCAGGCTGCATAACTGCTACTTACTCTGAATACAGAAGATCCTAACAGAAAAATGCAGGGAAAAAAAGGCCCAGGAGCGACACTGTTAGTGGAAAACTGCTGCAGGTGACAGCATGTAACTTTTTGGTATATATGTCTGCACCGAATAAACCCTATGTACTCAGAAATCACTTTCAAATTCTGCCTCTCTAGACCATCAGTGGCTCCAAGCCAAGATTTATGAGCCAGCAGCACACTGACACTAAGGTGTAATGTGGACTGCAAGCCGAAACTTTAACCTTTTCAACCAGCAGCATGCTGATTTAAAGGATAACTGGACTCAAAGTCTTTTCTCTGCACTGAAGAAAAATATACATCTACTAAGCTTTTAAGGCATTTACAGTAACAGCACACTAAACACATCCTCAATTAAAAGGCATTATTACCCTAATATAAATTGCTCTACTTTGGACATAAATTCATAGTAAAAATATCATAGAGATTATTAGTTCATGAATATTTCAGGCATCTTCTTGTGTTAATTTAACAGTCAAACCCTGACAAGTGTTTCATGCTAAAACATTTCAGGAGCAGGGTTTAGCTGCAGCCACCTCTGTGTGATAGCCTGGTGAATACAAACTTGGTTGCTGTGAGTTTTATTTTGCCAGTGAACTAACAAATTTCTGTTCATCTACCAAAAAAGCTACAAATTTTGTAACTGTGTGTATTCATTGCTACCGAACAGATCATGATACAAGTATAAACATCACACAAGCCTCAGCCTCCAGATATGTTGGCAAACCATCAGTGCATTTCAGTAGTTTGCTGTCACTGAATTTCATCCTCTAGTTGGCATGGAAATAAAATTATGGACGCGTTCAGGACACTATAGGCACACGAAATTTTTGCCTATACTCTCTCTTGCATCTATAACGTATTTTTAACTTGCAAGACCAAAGTATGCAAATTGATCTAACACTGGTTTTGGCAAAGACGTAGATTTTGATTTAGGACTGAATTACAGCCTCCCGGACCATCCTATTTTATTGACAGTCAGCACTCCCAATCAAGCAAAGCTCCTCAGCTTACAAGAAAGAATGCATTTATCTAGTCCAGTACCTTGTCAATGACACTGACATTAATCTGCTCCTGCAGGAGAAGTCACCTTCCTTCATTCTCCCCAAACCAAACAATCCCCAGGGAGTCTATCCCGACCTTCACACTCTGCAGCAGAGGTAGGTTTAATAAACTGTAATGTCCAAGGCTTAGTATGGTTTCTATTTTCCTCCATCATTAAATGGGAAATTACTCTTGATGACTTTTGAAGGTCTTGCTTGTCAACATAAATATTTGTTTCAGAATTCTGCTACAGTTTGGTCTTCATTAATTTATTACTTAAATTAGCTGAAATCCTCTAACAGTCCCATTGGTCCGGATCCTGCCAATACTTCGGTCTATTTTTAGATCTGAGCACCCAAAAGAGAACTATTTCAACTGAAGTCATTCTAATGCTTTGATGAATCTAGAAGAGGAGTTCAACTACTCAGCAACTAAAGAGCTGTCACTCAGCTTTGGCCTGAGAGGAAGCAATGTGTTTTCAAGTATAAATCATGCAAAACATGATATATCTATGCAAAGAGAAAAAATGAAAAGATGACCTCTAATTGTCCTGTACTTCTCATTCAACTGCTCTCTCTAGTTTTGAAATGTGAGCATTTATCTCAAGTTCATTTTTGCTTAATGTATTCCTAAAAAACCCCTGAGATTATAGAGTGTGAAAATGTAAAAATATTCACTGATCCCCGCTCCGGTTTTGGTATTAAAGGCTGGTGGTATCCCTTTCTATAAGGATATCACTGAACTCACAGGTAAAGAGCAGAGCTTCTCAGCTTCAAATAAGGCGAGAACATGAATTCATCTGTAAACATTTCTGAAGCCCTTAGAAAAATGTCAGCACAAACGTTAGGAGCTGCCTGTGGCCAGTTATGTTGCAGCTCATGCTGAACCGTCTGCTAAACCCGAACACAACTGGAGGTTTATGTAACATCACTCACCCCCATGCCTGTTCTACAGGAGCACAATAACAAAAGATTCCCTTCACATAGAATATCTGTACTGCTCTCTCACCATACTCCAAAATAATATTTGAAACATGCCCCTTAAAATGTAGATCAACTGAAGATATTTAAGGTGGAAAAATAATCCAGTCTGAGAGAAAAAACAGTATTAGTCACATTAAAGGCACTTTCTTAACTTTTTTCTTTTAAATTCTTTCTTTTAACTGTAGTTTGGAAGAAGAGTGATGTGATTTCTCAAAGCCAGTAATATTTGCAAGACAAAACCATGACACACTATGATGGTAACTCCCATTGCTGACTCTCATTTCATGGGCATCCCTTTTTCCCTTTGTTTCAATGACTTTGGAAATACAAGGATCAGCCTCTAATCACTTCAACAGTTGCTATTTTATATTTTGCTATGTAACAGTGGAAAGTTGGTGTGCTTTTGTAAAAATGCTGTCTGTGAAATGCAGTGGTGGGGAAGATTCTGGGATCTCTGGATCTAAAAGCAAAGGATTTGCTGCATTTTTAGCTCCTCAGCAGAGAACAGCTCAGTTATTGCTTTAGCATACTTCAGCAACTAGAGGGAGATACAGCATGTTAAGTGTCTGGCCTGGAAAAAACCTCACTCGAAAGGACTTTCCCAAATAACAAAGTAGTCAGCAGATCTAATAAGTTCAAGCCACCATCCAGGCAGCATCTCCCGACTCCCACAGACCACTTAACTCACTGAAATGATTTAAGACAAAAGAATACATGCCTGAGCTAAGGACATTTTTACTGAAGCTATAAATCAGCATTACTGTCCTGCATGTCTCCTTATATGTAAGTCACGCAAGCCAAGGAAGAGACCAGAACTAATTCCTGCCCCTTTGCTAGAATCAAATCCCAGCAGGGAGTCAATTAAGCCATACCACAGGACACGCTATTGAAATTTCACTCGCCAGGAATCACTTGTATTTGACTGTCCCTGCTTCAGAAAGGCATTCAGGGCTCTGAAAGTCTGAATATGTAAGGAGTCTTCTACTTGTCCTTGATTAGATGACCTACATGCATTTACATCCCCTAAATGACTGTGTGGTCCTCTAAGATGTCTGTATTGTTTTTTATTACAGAAAAGGGCTGGATCATCTGTGTAAAAAGTGCTTTAGGATGCACAAATAACATACAAATAACATGTTAGAAGTAATAATTGTTTTTTTCCCCAGTGTTGCTCATCCCAATGAAAACAAATTACTGTGAGAAATACCATAATCAGACAAATTAAATACGAATGGAGATTAATCTGATAAAACACTTGTTGTGTGATCTGTGATCATGATAAGCATGGCTTTCCCTACTTTATCTCCCAGAAATGCTTCAGCCTTACCCAGGAACAAAGAAGAGACTAACACGGGACAATAATTAATTTTAGATACAATAAAGCTATCTAATAATCCCCAATCTGCTCACAAAAGTGACAGGGATTACAGCATAAAGCTAAAGGTCAGATTAACTTGTCTAGGATTTTCAGAGAAACTTAAAATGGAGAGTTTTGAGGTAGGGAGAAAAATATCAAACCTGCTGGCAACGTAGAAAATTCCACAAAGGCTTCTTTTTTTTCTCGTTGTTCCAGGGGAAGCTGCCAGGGCATCTGATGGGGTTTTGCCATGACCTTCACCTTGTAGGCCATGTTGGGCTTCAAATTAAAAAAATGGTACTTGTAGCTAGCAGCCTTGACAATGTCAAATTCTTCTTCATTAAGAAAGATCACATGACTGTAATTACTATTTGTAGGCAGCCAGGACAGCTCAGCAGAAATCTGGGTTATATTGTCCACTTTAAGATTAGAGGGGGCTACTATGACATCCTTCCCAACTAACAAAGTGCACTGCAGTTCATCTGAGTTACCCTTGTTTGTAATGCTCTGAACCGATATTCGGTATGTACAAGCAGAAATGTTAAGCTTTTCTATAAGAGCTTTCGTTCTGCTTCCCAAGGCTATGTTCATCCGTACTTCTTTGTCAACCAGAACATTGTAGCTGCTAATGGTTCCCCATCCGGGTGGCACTACCGGTGGCTCCCAGCCCACAATGACACTTTTGGCTAGTTGTTTTATAAGGGTGATTTTTCTAGGATAAGGCACAATGTCTTCTCCAATTTCATCAATGTTCACATCCAGAGTCCCTGCGCCATTGCTGATTACGCTAGAGTCTATATGACTTGGTGGACTTATCTCCAAGAGATCTCCTTCCAAAGTAGGACCTGAATGATTGATAAAATTCTGATCTTGTTCAGTGCTTAATGTGCTTGATAACCGGGTCTCATTGTCTTGAACAAAATCCACAAAATTTGAAGGGACTAGTCCTCTTTGTCCATCTAGAAGTTCCCCTGGTGAGAAAGAACAATGCCATTAAAATCCTTGAAGGAGCATACCTCTTGCATGTTAATGCAAGTGGACAACATAAGGAGGATACAAGTGAAAACTGTACAACATTCACGGTTTGAGAATGTAAAGGCTCAGTGAGGAAAAACCCAGAACTGACAGTAAGCTTTCTTGTCATCTTAAACCTTGCCACTAGGAAAAGCTGACAATATAAAATATCTCATAATTAGCTTTGCCTGCAAGGAGTGGCTTTGCTGGTGCAGAAACTCTGTTAATTCACACAATGATGATAGGGATAATTTTAGCAACTGATTTAGTAACAGATGAAGGAAAGAACTGGGAGCATGCCTGACAGATGAATGGATTTGAATCTGCATGAATTAGCATGAACTCACAGATTTAAAATAATACCTTCATAAAAGCCATCTTCATCCATGTCTCCATACACATACAGGTACTTTCCTGCCGTGAGAGGGAGCTCTGCTTCTGGATTTTCATTTGGTCCATCAAAAGGGTTGTAACTGCAAGGAAGCACAGATGGGAAATGCGTGTGTTCACCTACAACCCCCCACAACTGAATACAGAAAAAGGTGTACAGTTCTAGGGCTGCACAGGAAGGGAATTCCTCGGTTCAATCTTTTTGCTTCCCTTCAGAAACATATTTAGAACGGAGTCTAGGTCAGTTTGTCGTTGTGAACTGTAACTGCATCACCAACAGGCTGCCATGAAATGAAACCTATTCACTTAAGGGCCATACACATTAAACCATGTCCTTTCCTGTAGAATTTACTTACATTTCTCACTTAGGTCTCTTTGAATACAAAATAAAGATGGTGACATCTTTATTTTGTAAGTGAATTAAAGCTCACTTGTGGGTTTTTTTTCCAGTCCCCACATTCTGTTTTATTTGCATGGAAGTCTTTTACACAGGTTTATTAACTTCAACAGAGAGAAGTTAAATAAAGACAAAGCCAATACGTTACAGCTAAAACAAGCTACTCATAAACTTCTTATAAAGTATTTAAATCCATATCCATCCTGAAATAAATTGTTCATCACAGAAATTTTTATGGTGACAATACTTTAATGTACAAAACAAAGATGTGAAAAGAACTTTTAAATCTTTCTTGCATTGATGACAAAGCAATTTATCAGAATAGACTGAGATATCCTCTATAAAGTAGGAGGTACACATTCTCATCTCATTCAGACATGGAAGGCCAGAAATACAGCAGTGAGTAAAGAGCCATGCCATGTTAAATTTTCTCTGACATTTACAGCACACAGAAATGGCACTATTTTGCATCCAGTGCAAACAGGAAAGGCGTCTGCTAGCCATAACATTGGTTGCAGGTAATAAGTCAGTGTATGAATAGAAGTGAAACAGCACTAAATGTTACAAATATGTATTATATATGTAATGAGCTCATTTTTTACCTATAACGAGCAATGCAAAGATGGACTTTCCCAGAATATCTCTGCTTTGAGGTATTGGAATTCTGATCATTATCCATCTGTAGAGAAAAACAAAAAGACAATGTGATTTCAAAAAGATGCATACAATGTTTTCCTGTCAGGTGACATGTATCAGACAGCGAACACACAACATTTAAAAAAAAAATAATTCTAACATGGAACAGAACTGGTTAATTTTACTTAGAGGGATTAGGCCAAAAAGAAATTGGAATTCAGATTCTATTAGGGCAAAGAAATTGAGCTATAGTTCCTTGACATCTAGCTAGAGATTCAGATTACCTGTCTGAGACTGGCTGCTGGTTTTCCTCAAAAGCCTGAAAAATTTGGTCAGTGGAGATGGTTGAAGGAGAGGGGATACATACCACAGCACTCCCTTTCATGCTGCTGACTGAAGAAATAGGCATGACTTAACCATACCTGTCTCACTGACCACCTCACCCTCCTGGTTAAGCTTTTACTAAAGTCTTCATTAAGGTTTAAGTAAACTCAGTTACTCCAAGATGACCTGTTGTAAGTGATATGCCGAGTTTCTGGGCATAGTACAGCTATATGATCACCCAGACAACCTAAGGTGATACCCTAATATTTTAATCAGAAAACAATGGTAGAAACCTGATACCAGGGACTAAGTACTTAAGGCAAATGTTGAGTTTAGAGCTGGTGCAAGTGTCAACTTCTAAACACTTGGAAACAGTGAGTATCAAATCAAATGTACCTCCTTGCCTATACAGTCCATGGCAGTAGTATCTGTTGAACTCTGCCCTTTCCACTAACTGAAAGAAATAAGATATTTCCTCTGAATTTACATATTTAACTCAATTCTGCAAAGCCACACATGTATTCCATTACAAATCTGGTCAACAAAACCTGGAGATTAAATTGGGGTGCTGAATCAACACAGAATTGACCTATTTTAGCTCTGCGCTAGGTATCTCACTAGTAAAACAGTAATTCTTTCTGTTATGCTTTGAGTCTAGCAGAGTCTTTAAAGTGAGAGATGCACTTCTTTCCTCCACTTACTTTACAGTATGCTGTGAACCCTTTTAGGAAAAACGAAAAACTTTTCACCTGAACTTCAAAGAACTTTAATTAAGGTAGCAATACTAGGTTTAACAGTGGGATCAAATAAGAGAAGTCGTCCAAAAATTGACTGAAATTTTACAGTCTGGACAGAGTGAATATTGAACTGCAACATTCAGGCCTAAACTAGTCCCGGCTTGGTTCCCACTATGGAACAAAATAGCACCCAAAAATATTGAGTCAAGTCACTTCTCCTCTGAATTCACTCTTAAGAGGTGTGTTAGCTTGTTGGGTTAGCACAACACTCTTCTGCCAACACTCCACTTCCAGTGAGAAGGACGGTAGTAGTCAGCTAACAGGTATTCTCCCCTGTGTAGCATTTGGGGATGCAGGTAAATTTTCATCCTGATACCTTTTTATGGTCACGTCACAAAGCTCATCTTTAACCCAATAATGCTTATTCTAGAAGAATTTGTTACTAGTAACAATAAGATATACTTTTGCAGAGTATAATGTTTTTTATTTCAGATTTCACAGCATTGTGCTCCATTTTTAGATTTTATTCATACACTCCCTGCCTGGATCTGGATACCTCTGAGAAAGAATGGAGCTTAATTTCTGTGAGCTTGCATAATGTAAGTGTGTATCACATAATTACACTCTGGAAGGCACACAAGGAACAATTCTGCAAAAGAGGGCTTGACATTCTCAGTGAGAGATAACTCACAAATAATAGAAAAAAGGGAATTAAATTTGACATTCACTTCTTCTGTTCCTTGCTGTTAGTTCTGCTTCCCTAAGTCTCACTGCTAAGCTGCTTTTTCTGGTTTGACTACTTCAGGTTTCTTTTTCTGTGGCCTCTTCAAAAAGCAGTGAATGTTCCCACTTTTCAGTAACGTTGCTACACATAAATATACACATATATTTATTTGTGGATAATCCTTAATATGTCTATGGAATTCCTACTATACAAGAATCTAATATTTTATTGAATATCCTATACCATACTCAGGCTTGCGATCCACTTAAATACATTTTGTTTCTATCAACTTCCACAGGTTCAGTAGCAATGAATATAAAATAGATAGAAAATATGCACACAGTTTCAATTTACTCACTTCTGTAAAGATTAAGAATGGGATTCAGGACTGCGAGTGGTAAAATCTGAAGATCATTTCCTCATGGCTGTTTGCCCATATTAAGCAGGCTTACAGTATTTAAAAGAAAACAATACCCTTCTGTAATTTTTCAAAATGTGTCCCATATCTCCTTACAATTAATATTTGCCATAAATATCAACAACTTGCTATGGCACCTTTGTAAAGCTCTTTTGAGCTTCCCATTGTCTTTCCACTAAAGTTCTACTAAAAACCAGAAAACCTTTTTAAGAAAGGAGGAACAGAACCTGTCAAAAGTACAACTGAATGCAAACTGTAAAGTTGAACGGCGGAAGAGTTCAGTGACAACATCCTGTAACTTTCACTTCTAGGTTACAGGCTCAGTATCAGTGTAGGAGAGTGTGCTGGAAACCGCTTAGTGGGTGGTATCAGCCTAGTTGTAGTGAGAAGATTCCCATGCCATGAAAATCAGGCAAAGAACAAGTCCTGCAGAATGAGCTACTTCTCTGTCAGAGCATGCCTGCCTGGACAGGGAACTTCATGGAATTCCTCTTCCATTTGCCCAGGCTGTATCGAAGCCTCATCTTTTGGCAGATATAATAAACCCACATGACACAGGCATACACCAAAACAGACACGGGAAGAAATGCTGACTTCTACCTCTTATGCACAATGCATCACTGGAGGCTGAGGTTTTCATAGAAGCATGAGGTTCTCACACATCCATTTTTTATTCTGTGTAACTAGGCTATCAGCTGGGACTTCTTTGGAAATATCAGTTAAATTCCTACCGGTCCTGTTCCCACGTTGTCTCAGAAAATGAGACCACTCATGTCTTGGCTTTTTACAAGCAGGTGGATCAACCCACATTCGTCCCCTGGAGAGGAGAAGTCTTGGCCCCATAACATACATTTTTAGTAACAAATTTAAGAAGACTCACGTCTGAATCAAATCTGCATCTTGGGGTACCAGATCTTGACTTGGACAGGAATGTAGGTTTGACGGACAATTGTTCTGGTTTGTCTCCAGATATTTGAAGGGGTCGTATAAACTCTGAAATCACACAACGACTTCCAGAAGGACTTTCATGACCTGGCAGTGAAAAAAAATACATCTGAGAGTAAGTAAGCATTCTCAAGCAGAAACAGTGCCGACTAATAGACAGCAGTGAGTTATTTTCTCCTCCCGTTAGAAACTGTTCTAGAAAAAGACTAAGGTAGGTAGACTGCAGAGCATAAAAGCAGTTAAGCCTACTAGTTCCCAGCCTTTTGGTAAACTACATAAGTCAACAATATGTAATGGAACATAACGTGGAAAGTGAAGGTATTTTAATTCCAAAAAACCAAAGTTGAAGTTTCCCCTAATGAAGAAAGATGTCCACCTTTGTTCTGAGCACCTTGATATCTTTGGATAACTTTGGAGAAGTTATTTGACATGCTGTTTAATATGCCCAGAATTGTTGGAACCCTTCTGTTTATTTCAGGGACTCTCTCATATACTGGAAAGTAGAATCAAGTTGTGCATTTATCTTTTAGGAAAGTGACTGAAATGCTAATAGTTTAGTTCACAGCATAGTCATTTTGAAATGAAGGGAGGTGGTTTGGCTTTTTGCAGGGCAGTAAGTTCCAAGAGCACCTGCTTCATATTTCTTAAAGAGTTCATCATTAACACCAGTAATAAAACACATAATTTGAGCACAGTGCCATCTCTCCCGTTCCTCAAAAATGGAACACATAGTCTATAAAAAAGGAAAAATCTCCAGAAATGCTTTTTGAGTATTTTTATTGTGCTTTTTTAAAGCAGTTAAAAAAAAAAAAAAAAAAAAAAAAAAAAAAAAAAAAAAGGCAGTTTACACTGCACATTTAAAGAACTTAAGAAGGCAGCCTTACAAGAGGGTGGACACTCTAATCTCCTGCTGACGCAAGTGAAAACCAGGCCTAATGGTGAGGGGAGACAAGTCACGAGAACAACTTCATCAAGGTTGGCAAGAGACACTAATAAAGTGTAACATAAATTACTTCTACATTTTTTCCCCTTTTACTGTTATTTAGTCCCTAGACCACATGTAAACAAGCAGGAAATTGTAAACTGAGCCTAATTATACTTGCAGCATCAGCAGAAGTTATAGCAAAGCACAGTCTAGGCATTGCTGACACAGTCAGATATGCATAGTGCTTTCTCCTTTCTCTCTCTCTCATTAACATAAGGAACCTATGCTCTAATTTTTCAGACCCTGGATACGTGTAGGTTCAGCATTTCATCTCCAGTTCTGCCAGAAGTCTGGACAGCAATGTTTTGCTACTGAATCAAAAGCTTCCCAGACACATGTCACCAGGAATTATCCGTGGAACCTCTTTATTCATATACACAGGAGAATAAGCTCCAAAACGTATCATCAGAGGGTTTTTCTGGTGTGCTCCTTAGTCCAGTATGATTAATTTTCTCTGCATCACTGCAATTTACAGCAGGACAGCTTAAGCACATTGACAGCAGGGAAATACACAAGTCATCATACAAAAGATTAATTACAACCAGCCCCGCTTACAGCAATTCCCAGGCTGAAAAGGGCACATTTTTTATTCTTGGAACCTTTCTCACATATATAACAGAAAAGTCATCCCCGTTCAGAAACCTTTAGCCAATTTAGCTCCTTCTGTTTGCTGTTAATGTGCTTGCCATATCAGCCTGTCAGCGCCAAGCCTATAAATAATTGGTCCAACTGTGATTATTCATTCAAAGGAAACTGCTGTTTGGTCTCATACCTCCTGGATTTTTCAGGCTTTGTCATTAAATTAGTGGTACTACATACAAAATGTGGAGAAAGATTCTTGGACAACATAGCCCTTGCCTTGCATACATACAGGATGATAACCAGGATAGGAACACAGGTTATCAAGAACTCCAGGAATATTAAGACACTGGAAGATATTAAACTCTCTTATTTTTTTTTCACTTGTGAAACAGGGTACATAAATTTTACCTTGAGTCCTTAACACATAGGAGAGAAAACAGTGTGGTAGTTGTAATTGCATCATGTCACTGGACACATCCATGGGTCCAGATGGTGCGAATAACCAGATGCAGTCTACTTGGATACCTCACTTCCCATCAGGGTAAGTCTATACCCATATCCACCAGTGTATGTGGAAACACAGCTTCTGCCCCAGATCTAGCTCTGCAAAACGGATCTGTCTGCCTAACTGCATTTATTGCCACCTTCAGTGTCCTCTGTTTCTCTATTCATTTGGCTACTTGTGCAATGGAATTTCTTCCTGCTCAGTAACATCTGCACTGGGTGCCATCAACTTCTGTCTCTTTGTGAAATATGTGAAACAACCAGAAGCTGATTCTCTAAGGCTCCTTCCCACACTGTGGGACTGCTTTTATCTGGGACCACAATGCATTCTGTTTTTTAAAGCAGCTTAAAAATTATGTATTTTCAAGGTATTCTAGTATCTGCAATAAATTGGAAAGAATAGATTTTCAGGCGAGTCATATCATACAAGGTTAGCAGTTAGTTTCTGTATATTCTGGACAGGAGGCTTCTTTAAAAGGTCATGAGAGGCTTAAATAATATATGTAAATTCATGCTGATTTTATGTATGTAGAGTCACAGCTGGATTTAAAAAAAATAAACGCAAGCATCATCAAGCAATGTCTTTGCAAAAAGCGAAATTGATACACACTGTCCATGAAGCACATTCCTCCTGAAACCTCCTGAATCTCTGAAATCTCCTGATCATTTCTATAGAGGAAGTCTATTTTTGCAGATTGTGAATACATGAGTACAGACAAAAATGTCTGCATTTAAAAACTGGTCTAACTTTACCTCCAAAATAAGAAATAATTTCAGACTAGGTTCTCTTGTTCATCTAAGGCTATTTCACTGATATCCCTGGGCTTGAACAACAATGTGGAGGAATCAGACCTCTAAAGACTGTTTTAAAACTTGTTAACTCACTGGAAACTAAGAAAAAAAAAAAACACCGCACCTTTCCTTTTATATTTGCACTCTAGAAAAAACAAAGTGTTAACAATGAAAAATGCAAGAGGTCAGTTCGTAAGAACACACAGCAGATTCGAGAAATGTCTCTTTTCCCCCTCTAAACACTAGAGAAGAACCTTAGAAAGGCACGGTGATTTTGTTTGTAAAGTCTCATAAAATCCATATATGCTCAAAATGGCTTTTATTTTCCCAAATACGTGTTAAGGAAGTCTAAAAAACACCCTCACAAGGGAAGGCAAGGAAGAGCACCAGACTCAGTTTAAATGTCTCAGCAGAATTAAAGCTGGCCATACTTGTAGTACAATTAGAATCCTCATTTGATTTATTGGAGGTGCTGATTCATTATGGACTACCTAAATTATCTAGAAATGTCATTTAAATGAGCCTTTTATCTGATGAATAATAAATCTTGAGGTTTTTATATCTGATTGTGACATTATTATATGTTTAGAGTGAACTTTTTACGTTCTAATCTATTCTGGCTAGGTTCATTTCATTTCCTGATACATTCAAACATCACCAATTAAGGCAAAGCAGCTGGTCATAAACTGATCTCATTTCCGTCATTTGCTTTGCTTTGAAAGCTGTCCTTGTGTTCCCTCTTGTGTTCTTTCTTCCTCACACATAATAAAAATAATTACACTTCTGGCTTGAAAAACTTGCTGTAGCATTACCATCATTATTGTGAAATGGTTGATTTAAATAATTAGAAATCCTGCCCACTTGCTCAAACATTACTTTATTGTTATCAGTGCATTCATACCGAGAATGAACATTGTCCGAGGATTTCTGATGTTTATACACTAGTGCTGCAGGCCCTGAATTCTAAGTTGCACAAAAATTAATAGGTTATGAAAAAAGGTTTAGAGAGCAAGGCCTTTAAATTACCTCAGTACAGAACTAGCTGTGTTTTCTGCGGTTTTAGTCAAAGATTTCTTGGAAGACTTCTGTTTGTTATGTTTTGAGGGTTTTTTTAAAAGCTCTTTCCATTAGTATTTTAAGAATATAAGTTAGTTTGGAGAGTTTGACCAAGGACCTAAAAAAGTTTAGTTGATCTTAATTTGAGGATTGAGCCTGTTTAGATCAATTCCAGAGGTACAGACTGGACCTTCACTAGCTGCCTAAAGGACATTTCAATACCTAATTACCTTTCCTTTAGAAGTAATTGCTGCTTTGAAAATCCTGTCCTTAGAGACATGAGGAGCTAATCCTGTTGGCATTAAGGAAATTTGTACTAAACTCTTATGTCTTTCAAGTAATGCCTTCTGAATTCTCCATTTAGTGCAGTTTAATATCCACTTAGGTAAAACCTGCAGCTCCAGAAAAGCCTATAAACTAATATGCACCACAGCGAGCATGACTGCAAACAGCTCAAATTTTTGTTCAAAAACCCAAGGCATACCAAGTACAAAGTTACTGAAGTGAAATGAAAGAAGGATGTCACCTTGGTTCCTTTTGACTTGGTTTCACATTGACTTTAGTACCTTTCACTGAAAATAACTGCTCATCTGTGATGATAGGGAAATGATTTGTGATTTCTAGGCCCTATGCCTCAGAATTTTTCTAGAATCTTAGGAAGATTAAATTAAAAAAAAAAAAAAAAAAAAGTCAAGACTATTTCATTTTTCCAGTTCCTCTTCACACTTATTTTAAAGCAACTTTAGGGGAATATGTAAGTAACAGAAACGGCGTGACAAGCGTTCCCTTGCAGAACAACTAGTTAAAAGTTATTCTAGCATGGGTGATGCTGAGCTGGTGAGCACACTCCTCAGCCTTGATAACAACATAGTAATAACACCCAATCTAAAATGCGATTTACATGCAAGTTACTTTCAAGTGTCCTCAAATAACCTCTTGCCTTGATCTTTGCAATTTTCTGATGAAGAATGAATTGTTAACAAAGTTGTGTACTTAGGAGGAGCAGTAGTTGCCTCTGGCAACAGGAGACAACCTGGCAGAAGTTCAACACAGATCTTGGAAAAACACATACTGTGTTGAAGATACTAGGTACTATAAGCGCAAGAACACCAACACAGATGTAATTTTTTTCTTATTTTAAACTCTACATTCTCCATTTCTTTTAAACCTCAAATCAACAATATTTTTGTTGTGACTTCTGTTTGTAAAACACCTGGTAGTTACATGTTCAAATAGTATTTTAAACACAGTTAAAACTGCAAACAGACCTTTGCATAGTTTAGTAAGCAACTGTAGGTATTACCCCTATTCAGTTCTTCCAAAATATATCCCATGAAACTCCTTTCCAACAAAACCCACTTTGTGACAGAATTTGCAATTTTTAGACAGTGTTTGCTTCCATTAATTTTTTTTTTCATGTTTTACGTTCAAGTTTTTACAAAGTGCATATTTTCTGTGGAACTAATGCAACTAAACCAAAAACATTTTCATGTTTGTCAAAATATTCTGTTCAGTTTTCCCATTTTCTACCCAGCTCTATTTACAAATTTCTTTTATGTAATAGCTAATGCAGTGTGTGGGTCTCTGCTTTCTTCCCCCATGAACAGCAGACCTGTTCCTGTCCTTGAAACAGTGAAGGTTTTACAACAAAGTCTCTATATGCAGACAGTCCTTCTTCTTCCAACAGAAGTAGATATTTACACAAGGAATGCATCATTTTAACACTGCACGGGTTTCTCATCACTACACCCAACAACAATTAGAGAGAATTCTGCTCACCGCAGTGCGTGAATAAAACTGGAACAACCTCAGTGAACGTTTAAGAGTTAGTCTGAAATTTAAACAAGTCACAAAGCAGGAACAGGAGTGAATTCTATCCTCCATTTGTACAGTCAAACTCTATTTACATCATTGAGTTGCGTTTTAAAACCTAGAGGGCAGAAGAGATACCTACAAATAAAATGCTGGTCCTTACCTTTGCCTATAGAAGTGGCTATTCCATTCATTAACTGGGATAGAGATTTACCAGGAGAACCAGGGATATCTGAGGATGCCACTGAGTTACTGCTCAGGAGATCAATCTTCCCTGCTTGCTGTCGAAACTTCTCTAGTTCTCTGGACAAGAGGTTAAATTGTTCGCTCTGTGTCCGGCATTTCTCCTCTAGCTCTCGGACCTTGGCCTACACAAGCAAAACATAACACAGACCTTTGACTGAGATCAGAGCGAGCTGCGACTGCATCAGATTTTTCTAAAGTACCAGGAAACCAGGACAGGCAAACTGTTTGGATGAACATGTCACAATAACACTTTTCTCCCTCTAAATTCTCACCCGTATTTAGAATGAAACCTTTTAGTAGCCCTGTAATATTGAGGTAAGTACTCCTTTCATCCCCAGTTTCCAAAGGGGAAATTCCTCATCATATTTTTTGGCAGTGCTAAAAAAGTCACTGCCAAGAACACCTGCAAACAGATCCTACAGATCCTCTTCTACGCACATCTGAATTTCACTTTTGTGTGCTTATCCGACTTTCACTCAAACTGATCTATTTCTGAGGTTTGCCCATCCTCCGCTATTAAGTTGAGGCCTCCTGAATTGCTAGATTAACATTTATGTATTAAAATACAACAAAAACAAAAAAATACAACCCCCACAGTGGTTCATGCAGAATGTGGGCCTAGCTACTGGCTGAATTCCCTTTCAAAAATAATGCTCCTCACTATAGATGCCAAAGCACACAGAAGTAATCCAGACACCAGCCAAGAGAAGATTGTCTGTAAGCTTCTGCGAAGTACCAAAATGTCATTGTTGGCAAACATTTTTGTTTTCGTTTTGAGGCATCAGTCTTTAACAAAATAGAACTTAAACGATAAGCTTCTGTGCTGACTTGGGAAACTTGCCTACATACAATTCATGAATTCCTGATGTGAAAAAAATGGATGAGGTGATGGAAAGATTCCCTGGCTGAAAGGAATGACAGAAAGCATGGGAATACATGACTTCTACAACTTTTACTCAAAATGTATATAAGGGTAGTGAAGACACTAGATCATGAAAAAACCCTTTTATCCAAAATCTGCATGTCCATTGTACCAGCTAAACTAAGGATACAATAATGTTTCCAATATAATGCATTTAAATGTTAATGTGCATTTATACAGTCTGCCTATCTCTTCGCACGCACTATCAGATATTCCTGAAGAGAAAAACCACAAATCTCGAGTACCCAGAGAGTTAAGAAAGAGCATATAAACACCTGTTACAAAGACTGAGGGATCAGCCAAGCTCCTGATAATTTCATTAGTGAGGTCTGATTTTCATGTAGGGGCTGGAAATGTGCCAGAGTGCCATTTGAGACCACTTGTGTCTTATGTGCTGTGACCCAAACGCTGCAAGTAAAAGTAGCTCAACAGAGGCAGTAATAAACTCCTTACGTGAAAGCAAACGCATTATATCCTAATCTGATGCTTTATGATGAACAAACGTTACTTTTCTTCATTAAAAACCTGTTTACAGTATATGCCTAGTTAAACAAATGTACTAACAAAAGAAGTCTGGATATCAATTCTATACATTTAACTGTACTAACGTTGCTTTTTCTTGGAAGAGAAAAATGTTCTTAGTTCATACAAGAAACAAATGCACATATCAAGAAAACAACATATATTACATACCATCTATACAAGATCTTAGCACAGCTAAAGATAAACACTTATAGTCCCCAGAACACCACAAAAAATTTCCTATGACAGAAGGTGGTACTGATTGTTCCTTTTATTGTAACAAACACATTCTTAAAGCTGCAGTGAATTTGGAGGATGTAATTTCTTTGTATTCATACAACACAAATTAATTTAGTTCTGCTAAAGAAGTCTCAGGGTATCTATCTGACTGATTATGAAACAGAAAACAGTAAGCTACAGTGACATTGTGGGAGTTTTACACAAACATTAAATGCTTTGATTTTTGTTTTATGTCTTTCATCATTACACTGTTGTTTTGAGCAACTGAAATTTGAACCTTAGCTAGTTGTTAATTCGCTTCGTGAATAAGGCAACTATATACAATTTAAAAAGACTATTAAAGGAACAAAGCAGTAAAATAGTTTGAGGTTTTAGATCCCGTCTTTCTAATGTAAAGTTTAAGGATGAGCTATTCAACTCTCTTAAGAATACGTACTGACCTTTCTACATGCAGTGATGGAAACTCTAGCATAAAATAAAAAACATAAACATCACAATCCGGACCGCAGCAAGATGCTAAAGCTGCCTTAAAAATATTTTTGAAAAAAATATTAATGTATTATTATTTATTAATTCAAAATTAATTGCATTTCAGTATATTCCTTCTTTGACTTTTGAGTATCTAGAATCTTCTCTCATGACAGTACGAAGCCTAGAAGAAAAATGCCTTTACTAGTTTTTTAATCAAGGTTGTGCGTTAGAAATGAGCACAAAGCTGCTACTATATGAAGAAAAAAATGCCATAAGATCCACGATAGTACTAACAGGAGGCATCCCCATATCCATTTTTGTTTCTTGACGTCAGGCAGGTGCTTGGTTCATTGTTAGCCAGCCAGAACTCACCTCTCTGCAGAAAACTGATGTATTCATGTATGTCACTGCAGAGCGAGGTATGTGCTTACACTTTCAGAAGTACTAATTTTTTATTCTGTATCATGGTTCTGCCCATCCTAATATCAATGGCACAAAAGCACCGAGTCTACCAGATCTCCCTAAAACCGGATCTGCCTATAGCAGTGGTTGTTTGAAAAGACATTCTCTACTGCAAACCATATTGAATGTATGTCACTTAGGACTTACCAAGTTTCTCATACAATACATAGTGCTATTTCTAAAACTTGAACAGCTTCTTAAATGGAAAATGAAGCAGACTTCATCCATTAAAAGACAGATACTGTTCACACAAGACAGATAAGATGATGAGCAACTTTCCAGGTGGACAGGCTTGAATTCAGACTAGTAATTAGCTCAAATACTCTGCTACATATCACAGCTTAACAGTTTACGTAGCAGCAACAGCTTTCGGTAGGTGGCTCAATAAGTGAACCCCAAGTGATAAGATCGCATAAAATTATCTCTGCATTAACAAAGAAACAATCCGAATTCAGACAAAATCCACACAGTCAGAAAGCTACAATCTTGAATAAACTACCAAACCATTCTTACTGGGCATGCTCATAAGAAATAAACTTTCAAAACCTGTATCAGAGTTCTCATTAAATCATGCTATATTTGAAGATGAATCTCTTGTAGGAAAAAAAAAAAAAAATTATCTGATTTTGGTGATTTGGTATTAGGCCAATAAATGCCAAGCATGCTTGCATAACAATGGTTCTAGCACGCATCCCATGCAAGGTTAGGCAGGACTATCGTACTCATTTTAAAGGGAAAAGTGCAGGATTCAGGACAGGGAAAGGAGAATTTATGCCCTAAAATACCTGCATGCTGTCCAAGGTGTTCTGGATGAAGTGCAAAGCAATAAATTCCAAACAAGACACAGTAAACAAAGAGATGTGGAATAAACAAAGAAATAAAACAGTCTTGAACACTTTTTTACATTTCAAAGCAAAATATATTAGAACAGTTAACACATGTAAAAACATGCAGTAATGCGATCCACACTATAGAACTCTTCAGAAATCAATACCACTGCTGATCTTAAACTGCAACTGGCAGATTAAATAAAATGCTAAAAATTAATAGGCTTGTGGGAATAAAAAGCAAAAGCTCAGGAAAACTTGATGGGGTTATGCAAATCAGAGGTTGCAGACAAATAAGCTAAATAGGAATTTTGATTAGCTTGAGGGTGGTAAATAATCACTTGCCTGCTTTGTTGCTATTTTTTTTTTTTGCATCATATACTTTCCACCAGGCATTAAATAATAATTTAATCTTATATGATGATTATGAAAGCCCATGAGTAAAACACTTTTTTTTTGAATATTATAATTTTTATAGATACAAATAAGTTTTAAAATGTCTTTTTAGAGATGAAAAATGCACCAGAAAAACCACCTTTCATCAATGCATGACTGGTAAGTGCACAGACAGAACTACTGTGAGAAGACGACTAGAAATTACCTTTTGCTAAAAACACATTTCTACATGAAATATTGACAATGAACTTGCTATAATCAACCTATAGTATTGTGTGATCTTTGTGATACATATGTTATGTTAAGATTTAATTACCATTTAATGCCTTTTCTTTTCCTCAGGCAGAAAATCTCATTGGGTAATTATCAGCCAAAACCTATTTTGCATGAAAAAAGTGAAGAACAAAAAAGAGGAAAAGGAAAACTGGATACAGTTAGTGTGCTATTTACTTGTGTGTCTCTATTTTCTGACACTTTACCTTATCCCAGTACATCAAACGATATGACTGGAACTTAAAGAATCTGTTGAGCCTAGTTTTGAAAAACTGAATTGCTTGCTTTGGGAACCTTCTTACAGGAGTTCTAATTTCTGCTACATGTTGTGGTCATTTGTCCTATCTTGCACAACACTCTGGGTCAGCCTCCATTTCTAAATAGCAGACAGCAAAGTGAATAAGAGGATTTGTCAGCACCAGGCTGATATTCAAGTATATTAATTTCTTTCAATTCTCCTTTGATTTTTTTGTGTTTTCATATGTAATTTAACCATAACTGTATGTATCCATTATAAAGGTCCCATTATTGTAAGAGTCTCCGTTTAAAATCTCTAAAAATTTCACTCCAGCCTAAAACAAAAGCTTTTGCAAACTTTGCCCTATTCCAACTAACAAGCTCATGTTTTTTGAATGGGAGTAAGAATTTGCTCCTATTCTTCCTGTCATTTCTACACAAGACACAAACAATTCTGCATCCTTAGGCACAGGGGACTAAATTACTAGATTTTTTTTTTTCTTTAGGATTAATGACTTGAAGGAAGGCTTGAAATGTGATTCAAAGTCCATAAACACACCTACTAAAGCATTTACAGGTAATGCCCTGTGCCAAGGTCATAAGTGCTATGAGCAACTGTTAATGAAAATGCTAAGATTTTTTTAACGTATCTTTATAGTTGGTGTTGTCTTTATGAATGATGTCAGTATGTGTAGGCATTTAGTGCCTTAGAAGTTAGTAAACCAGATCATCTAAATCATCTCTCAATACCTAATTTACTTAACAGTGTTTACTTACTAAATCCAAGAGTCACTGGTACATTCTAAAAACATATTGCAGCATAGCTGGGAAACACTAAGAAAGGTCACAGCTGGTGACAAAACAGCAGTAGGATTAGAGGCAGTGGACATGGGTAGCTTTCAGAGAAAATTTCTAACAGGATAAAAAAATAATACTCTTCATAAAGAAAGTCCTCAAAGACTGAAAGAGGCTGCCCATAGAGGTTGTCATAGCTCCATTCCCAGAGATATTTAAAAATGGACTGGGCAAAGCCTTCGGCACCCTATAGTAATTTTGAAAAGGGCCTTTCTTTGAGCAGGGAGTTGGACCAGATAGCCTGAGGTCCCTTCCAAACAAAATTATTCTGTGTTTCTAATTAAAAATTTGAATATGTTTCTGGTGCCCTTGATTTTCAAATGCCCAGTTCAGACTACCTCGAAAAGATCTAATTTTCCTATAAAAAGAATTAAGTGTTCTCTCTGTACCACACCCTTTGAAGGTTTTTCAAAGTATCCAAGTGCTTACATTAGGTTTGGCTCTTTAGCACGTAGCTTTATGTTTACTAGACAGTATTTAATTAGGAACCTTAGGTAGTTTATTTGAAGCTCTATTTCCAGCCTAAATGATAGTAATTCTCACGTGTAATCACGTCCTTTTTATATATCTGATAATATTTTACAAAAAATAGTATGAAAATTTCCATTCTATACAAAGAAAAACAGAAGTATACACATCACTTCCAACAGCTAAGCTTAATGCCCTCCTAACTGAATTATAGTCTTTAAAGGATGCAATTACACCAAAAGAGAAAAAACCTCTATTTGCCTACATACTTGAAACTTTCAAAAATGATGATACTGCAAAGTTATCACATTCAGAATGGAACCTCCACAAGCAAAGGTAACACAAAGGGTATCTGCTTACCTCTAGTAACTGAACTGCTCCTTCATGTTCCTTCTTAGCTTCAACCTGAGCCTTGTTTTTATAAGAAAAAGAGAAAGAGAGAAGGGGGGGG